TAGGAATTTTCACAATATTCGTAACACCAACGACCTTGTAATGATGTTATATGGCAGTAGGATATATATTCAACATCTCATTAGAAACAGGAAGCTATATCAACTTTAACTTCATCAGGACTTCTATTATTCATGAGTTCGCTCTTTTCCACAGAAAACCTCTACTGCCTTTCATCTATATCTTACTGACGCAGATGTACTTTTGATTGTCGGTGAGCTTTATTAAAGAAGACTTAAGTATTGCCGTCCTCCAGATAGGCCCTTAAATTCCTGCCATTAACGCATTTACATGAGAGGTTTATAAAACGCGACTAGTTGCTAAATATAGTGCTCATGATTTTGCATAATGATTTTATGGGATTTTTTGAAGATTTTTAGACTATGATAATATGTGTCTTTGTCATAATTTTCTCCCTCAGAAAACATAACACCTCTAGGCTTACTTAGAATAATATTTCTATTCGTTCTTTGGATTCCGGGTGGAATGTTAGGCTTCAGGAGCACATCTCGATTTCATTCTGTTTCGTGTTATCATTTTTATCTGGCTTCACCTTACATGATCTTTTCCACGCCAAACCCGTCACTTTCTACCGCGGTTCAAATCGAGAGTCTAGATAAATGCATCACTCAGCGGTCTCTTCAACTTACCTTCTGCATATTTGTTTGGTTATAGGTTGTTAGTTGGTTTGTTGACAGAGATCCTCATTCTAGTCAACCGCTTGATATTTAGTATCAAGAGATGCCAGTTGTTGATAAAAGTCTGCAGCCTGTTAAAAATGCTGTTCGTGGCTCGGTAAGCCTCTAAACCATGCGGAAGCACTGGCTTACTGTTAGTGTTGAAAGACTTATATTTTCACACGATTTTCATGTTGCGGATGACGTTGCTTAGTCATTCGAATGACAGATTATCCCATTTGTAACGTATAAACCAACATTTTAATTTTTCTAGCATAATTCTAGAAAATCACAGAGTTTCTGAGAGTTGCTGCTTGCAGCTGAACAGTTGCATCTCAAGACTAATTATTTGTGCCTTGTTGAATGCAATAAGCAACCTTACCCACTTACTGATGATAATTTTGAGTTTGTTAAGAAACAGGTGTTTCCAAAAACTAGAGCAACACTTTTCAGCAACACCTTAGTCTCTCCTTTTATCTTATTGTTACTCATAGTAAAATAATACGTAGGTCGGTAGTTCCGTGTGATAATGATCCCAGAGTGTATAATACTCATGAAAACCGGGTGAGAAAGCAGCTTTTTTGTTCACTTTTTCACTATGCCAACAATATAGCGCTTAACACTACAGCCAAACAGATTAAAACAATAATTCATTATTCTATGTACGATTCATTAACTTCATCTTTTGGATTTTCTTGTTAATCAGATGTCCTTGAAGGATTAATTAAATTAGCAGGATGATTTCCCCCACAGCACTTGTAGATTTCAATTTTCTTTTTAAGGAAAAAGAGGATTAGGTGATTCTTTCGATGATTTCTTATGTTTCGCATTTCTCAGAATTCCAAAGTTCATCAAAGAAGTAACATATTTAGATAAAAATAAAGGAAATTTTCTACAGGCAATTAAAATTCACCAATAACGATTTAATTAGTGTTGATAAACTTTCGCTATTTTTATTCCTTGTTTAGCATAAACATAAACAGAGAACCTGGGAGTACTGGACAGCTGTTTCATCCTAGTTTGGGACTCTTCATCAGTACGCACCCATCGGGATTCGAACCCAGGACCTTCCGGTTACACTACTGTCAGCTCATGATGAAATTCTGAAACCAATCAAATCCCTACAAACCAACACTTGACTACCAATAAGATGCTCACTGGCGACTGGCCCTATTCAGGTAGATAGTTACCTGGGTTCCAGTTGGAAGTCGTGACCAGTAGGGTGCAGCTGGTGAAGTGTGAGGACAAATACTCGCCGAAGACATTGGTTAGCGGTCGCGCTATGTCGTGAATTGGCAGAAGTTAGAATTCAAGGACCATTGGATTGGGTCCCAGTGGCTTAATGGTATACGAGCTCGCCTTGTAACCGGAAGGTCCTAGGTTCGAACGATGGCGGTGTGTGCGTACTGCTGAAGAGTCCCAAACTAGGACGAAACAGCTGCCCAGCACTCCCAGCTGGTTTTCCAATGGTTCTCTAACTACTGTCAACTCATGATGAAATCCTGAAACCAATCAAATCCCTACAAACCAACACTTGAATAAACAGAGAAGATTTAACATGTCATATGATACTTAAGAAAAGCAGCTTGCTTGTATTTTTGACTGTCATGTATTTTATACTATTCATTATTGTATCTTGTCTGTAGCCAGTGTATAACTAATGTAATCAACGTAGCTGTAAATTTTTCAGTGTACTGATGTTGTGTGTCTGTGGCACAGCGGTTAGGATGTCTGCCAACCATGCACATGGTCCAGGGTTCAATGCAAGGTCGACTCTCACTTGATATCAATTATCAGTCTGCTATATTAAGGCCACTGATATCACATGCTGAAAATTCTATAGCTGTACCAAAAATACTGTGTGGAATCAAGCTATTATAAAAGTTTAAAAAAATTAGTTAAATTAAAATTTTTCAGATTCCAGAATGGTCACTGTAATAATACATCGACAATTCCTTCAACTACACAGCTACGCTTTGGCAAACAATTGGCATAACTTATTCTTCTTTCTGAAAGCTACTCGTGTAAATTACGTATTCGCAAGTTGTAACTACTTTGCTGAAATTAGATTATATGCTGTAATACTTGCTATATATTAGAAAACAATTGCTTTTTCTTCAGCTTCCATTATAAATGCCTCAGACAACAGATGAATTTCTTGCTGAGTTATAAAAGTTCCTCCCGTTTCAAAATTTATTTAGTATTCTTCTGTATCATGAATTGAACCTAAGGCATCGGTATAAATCTGTTGCAAATTAGTTAGTGAAGACAGCTTGTTTAACTCAAAGACCACATTCGTAAATGCTCATCTATGCATTATTTCGTCAGCATAACTAGTTCCAGCGATATGAATACAAGACAAGAAAGCCATAATATATTGTAGAATAAGTTGGCACAGTGGTTAGGACTATCGCCGACCGTGCACATGGTCCGAGGTTCGATCCCCTGCCAACGCACACCTGATATCTATGGTCGGCCTGCGAGATTTGGGCTGCCGATATCCATGCTGAAAATTCCACAGCTGTGCCAAAAATACGGTGTGGAATCAAGCTGTAATCAAAAGATATATATATAATGTAGAAACTGGCAAAATTTTGAAGTGTTTATCGTATAAAAATTAGGCATGTTTTGAATGGTAAGTACTGTTGGACAAAAACCACTGGGTAAAATATCAGTAAGAAATACAGACCATATTTGGGGGGTTAGGCCATAAATTTTTGCCTCGCATCATTTATTCATATACGCATTATGATAGTGAAACCTCCTAAAGTTAAATGCAATTTTGTAAGATCCACGATTAATCCAACGCGTGGACAGAAGCCAACTGAGTACTCTTTACTTGTGTTAACCTCATTTAAGTTTATTTATATACTCAGTTTATTATGCAGTGGAACAACACTGCATACATCATAGTGATTCCAAGGTGATTGGAATTCCTATGAACATGAAAAATGGCTTGTTCTAAGTGTTGCATTGTGTGATATAGTTAAACGATGAAGCAGACATATGAATAAAGTTTCCTATTTCTCACATTCTTTAAGTCTATCATAACCTATCAAATGCTCTAAATGATTTCGCTGAATTCAAAATTACAGAAGGGTTTTGATATCAACCTTATTGTACATTCCTAGCATGATATAGTCACAAAACTGCTATATAACTTATTCACTATGGAGAATCTGCATTTCGAATGAACTTTTGAAGTTTTATGAATACTCTTCAGGAGAACACTTTCCTATTTATAATAAATAAAGTAATAATGATAATAACATAGAAATTTAATCTTATTAAAAATTCGTAACCCTTTCTTCCATTGTGCCGTTGAGGACTACGGAATTCACAACTTCTATTTTCCTACTTATAAAGCCACTTATGAGTAATGATATCAATTATATTACCTCACCCCCCCCGCCCACATTTTACTCATTTTGTTAAAATTTCAGTTCACCTAGCAAATTAGTATTTGCCGACTGAATTTGAACTCACATCAAAAAAGAAAGTATCACAATGACTGAAGAAAGTAGTGAAAGTAGTCATATCGACATATTATCAGAAAATCTAAGTTAAATGGAACAATGCATTTCATCACTTTGATAACTATGCAACATACTGATCCAAGAATAGTTTTCATGATAAAATGACAACGATTTAAGATAAGCTTAAAAGAGCATGTTAGTGTTTTTTCTTTATCTATTTCACTCTAATTATACAACTCATACAAAGTGAGCATAATCACTGCTTCCACTTATAAACAAAAAATGGCAGATGCTACTAAATCCTGTGACTTTCGAAAATGACATTTATGCAATAATATGTTGCAAAACAAAAATAACTTTCAAGTTTGCCCATGGATTGATATCAGTCAAAGAGCCATTGAAAACCTGAGAGTATTGAACAGTTATTTCGTCCTTCTATTTTGAGACTCATTGGCAGTTCGCATTCACAGGGTTTAGAATCCAGAACTGCCCGGTTACAAGTCCAGCGAACTGGTAGACCATTCAGCCACTGAGACCTAATTCAGCGGCTGTCCCATGAATTCTAACTTCTACCAATTAGTGACCTTAGCACTACCATCAACCAAAAATAACTTTTTCGAGTTTTGCCTTAAAAACGTCACAAAGTCTGTACTCCGTAACAAAGTCTTATTCAGTTGATGACGAAAAACAGATTAATATGAATCTCGGAATATTCAACTGTCAAAGAGAACACAAAATAAAGCCCAACTTTAATATCTCATATAGTTAATACTAGTGTGTGTGTGTGTGTGTTGTAATAAATTATTCTCTTTCATCTTCTACCTACCTACTCTTCAATTGCTTCAAAAGCTTACTGCTAGTAATGAAAAACTGGTGAATTTTATACCTGAGGAAATTGAAAAAGAGAAATCTTTTGGTCTACACTCATTATCGAGTATAAGGACAGCGAATAATCTGACAGGAGTAATGCGTACATGGATGTTGGTTGATTGGCCAGATGAACAGACAAAGCATAACTTTACTATAGAAATTGTCAGAGTATGTTTTATTTTTATGTTTTTTTCTTCTATTTTTTACTTAGATTTTGTTTGCTTTTCAGCCTGGTGGTTGTTGCATTAATTTGCATAAAATTTTGTTTACATGAATTATTCTATGAATGATTTACACACTGAAAATATTAACGAGATGAGAGATGGATTCAGATTAATTAATTAATTTATTTATTTATTAGTATTTCCATGTATTATGTGATACATTACATTTCCCCAGTTGATTTGAAAATACCTTAGACGTAGAGCTTTGAAAGTAGCTAATCACAAATGCTGTTTTATACGATATTTTTTTAATGCTAACATTCACGTTAATGATTTCATAAGTAAGTAGGCTTCTGTGAAAAGTGTGGTCTCGACAGCTACACTGACTGGCTAAAGCTTCGTTAAATATGTTCTCTGTGTGACCGGAAGATATATGTCAGACCAGATAAGAGATAATTTAGGCACACAAATTATGATTTGGAATTAATAGTGTTCTATGAGCTGGTTGGTTTAGTTGCAGAGCTTTCATCGTCTTTCTGGACGACATCTTCAGCGCAATATTTAGCATAAAGTGGAATGATTTAAATTTCTTCATCAGTGATATAATTGCGTTTCAGTTACAAATGTAAAGATGGTTTCCGGGAGACGCAGTTCCATCACTCATGAGAAAAAATTTAAATCATTTCACTTTATGCTAAATACTGCGCTGAGGATGTTGTCTAGAAGGATGACGAAAGCTCCGCAACTAAACCAACCAGCTCAGAGAACACTAATAATTGCAAATAATCCACCTGAGCTACAAATCTTCTCTATTACACAAATTATTAGCAAAAATATCTTGGCATAATCAAATATTTAACCTCAGCAAATGTTTCCTGTTGAGATATATTCTAAATCTTGTGTACATGACGAGTCTTATGACCAAGTTGCAAAAGCTGCTAGAGAGATCTTATGCGTAGCCCCTTATGTTTATTTACAATTATTCATTGAAAATGTGACAAGTCAGTCCCATCGCATGTAGTTATAAGATTTTCGAAGGTTTGATAAATTTTAATAAAGTAGTCTGATGTACTTCGGTAAGTGTGTCGACTTTCACGCTACTGAATTTGTACAAGAAGACTGACTTTAACATTTAAAGTGACAGCTGAACTTTATTTTGAAGCTTGAATGAAATCACTTTTTTTCGGTTGAACGGCGATCAGCCTCCTGGTAAACTAAGAAACATCACTTTAAGAACATCACTGTACAATACGTGAGAAGCACCAATAAGCATATTAGCTAAACAATACGAAATAATGTCACACCCCAGAATGACAAGGCCAGTAATACTCCAGGGTAATAGCAGAGTAGTATTATAAAACTTCACATTCCTAATACAGTTTTCTGAATGTAGACTGACTGATATTTTATTCAAGCGATTGTTTTAAGGCAAGACGAAATATTTGGATCCGAATTCCATTGTGACTGCACTTTTTATATTTCACTGTAACTCTATGTGCTCTGCAGTTAAAAAATGGAAGCACTTGCACAAAGTCACTCGTTATTATTTATCCGCTAATAATAAGTGTCTGATTTATCCTAATGAATGATACAGAATTTACCCTTTTAATTTAGATCATAGTTTTATACTGTTAACAAACTTGTAAGTAGTTGAGAACATCCTCTACAAAATCTCTGAAAGATCGCATTTTGTTAAAATAATAATTGTATTGTACAAATTGTAGGTTACATGTGAAAGTGCATTGACGTATGCGAGACAGTTACACGAAAAACTACGTTTACAAGGATACTGTGATGAAGAAGGTCAATTCGACATTTCAAACTCGGTAAGATCTGTTTTTTTGAAACTTTTGCATTACCTTCGTAGGTTTTATTTCTCATTATGGTTTTTACCTTCTCAGATGACTTGATTAGAAGCATAATGTACTTCTTAGGATGCTTCATCTGAAATTTTTATCCAAGACTAACTTGAGGATATGCATCATTACTAGAAATCAACTATATGCTATACTTTTATATAAAGTTTAATTGACTAGTAGTTGATGGAAAAATACCTGATACAGTTTAGTTTAGACTTTATTGTTCTTAGAATACTGTAGTCATCAGTAGTTCAACTTGACTCTGTAATAGATACACAGCAGTTATCAGAAAACATTTTACCTCAGTGTTATGCCAACTAGTACTCACCAACTAATTAACGATAAATACCTCAACGTTATAGTATATGACTCTCCACTATGGATTATGCCATTATCTGTCAGGCGACAGATTTGCAACTAAATACTTTTCGTTTCACTGTCCGATAATAGACGATAAATTACCAAAATAACTTAAGCTTGTCTATGTCATTCCACACCAATTGGAAGCCTTGTCCTTGATGATTTTCATCAATCGAAGTATATTCAGATATGAAAGAAGGGATAAAGAAACAATTAAAGCACTTATATTTATTTAGTTATGTGTGTATACGTGTAAATGACTCACCCATCTTCTTCATATTTTTCTCAATGATGTAGCTTTCTGTTGGTTTAAACAATCTTGAACTGATCTCGAAATTAGTCCAGTGGAGTTTGCTATTTCTAAATATACAGACCCCATGGTCGCGAAGTGACTCTAAAAGGAATAATAATAACACATCGTCAGCAACTCTTACTACCTTCAATGCTGACAATAGTATAACTTCTCAAAGTAACAACAGTAATGTGACCAGTGATGCTACGGTTGAAAAATGTAAATCCACGGATGATGAAGAAACGAAAATCTCCTACCAGAAATTGGAAACATTGAAACGCCTTCAACACAATGGTTACAGTGAGCTTATTCGAGTATTGAATCGCACAATTTATCGCATGAATGCCAAGGTATGTATTTGAGTCCTTTTTTACAATTTATCCTAATATACTCAGCCTGTTAACACCACCGCATATCTGATCAATACATTCCCACAAATACTTTTGGCTGAAAAATCATATTTCTAATTATGTAAAAGTGTGTAAGCATCAATAAAAGCGTCCTAATAAAAAAAATAACGTACGACATTGGAATCCGGTGGACTCAGACTTCTGATTCAATATTCCACCGATGTAATGTCTTCATAAATAGAAATCGTTATTTCAAGCTTGACCACGGATTCAAATCGGTTAGAGAATCATCGGGTGAAGATAAAGTATCGTACCGCGAAGATCCGAACCCTCCAAGGATCTTGAACCCACGCTAGTCTTTGGATAACGCGAACTATGATTTTTATAGCTCTTATATGAACGTCATTTACCAACTAAGGAGTGAATTTCACCCGGAAAAGATTTAAGTACTGTTTGGACAATGTTCTAATGGTCCACACAACTTTTTGTTAGAGTGACTTGATATGACTATGAGCAGTAATTAGTGCTCGAAACGTCGTCATCTTATATTACTGTATTTTGTCCTAGCTTTGGACTCACCGGCAGCACGCACCCTTTGGGTTTCGAACCCAGGGCCTTCTGGTTACAAGGCATGTTGGTAGGGCATTCAGCTACTGAGACACGACTGATTGGCCCATTCAATCCCAACTTCCACTAGTTCGCGATTTTAGAGCATCCGCCACCTGGTTTCCAATGGTTCTCTAACTGATATCAGTCGTTGTCAAACTTGAAACAAATCAATCCCTTCAGAAGATCTCATGAGAAATATTTATCTTGATCATGTCTTATTACTCACCAAAAACAACTGTGAATATCATTTTGCGTTATATATTGTACTAATCGCAAAACTTTATATCGAATACTTACATAATCTATAAATACCATAAGAAATATGGTTTATTTACTAAAAATAAGCTCACTTGTTTAAGTCTCTCCTCTACAAAGCTACGACGTTGTTTGTTATAAAGAAAAAATGTTTATGAGTATTTTTGTTATTTCTGAAGTTTATGTGTTAGGTCATATGCCGACATTAAAAAATTAAATGATGTTTATTGGTGTTCACTTGCCAGCATTTAACAAATCTTTATAGTGGCATTTGGAGTAATGAAGAAAACTAAATAACGGCAGAATTCAATCCAGCAATAATCAGAATACTGATTCGACAATTTCAGGGCTGAATTTCACGACGAAGAATAGTTAGTTCTACTGTCCCTACGAGAATGATTGTAAATATGATACACGCTACTCAGACAGTCCCTTTATAATCTTATCAAATTAGAAACATGCGATGAATTGAGTAATTATCAATGGTTTAATGTTATTTGTTATTTGAAATCAATAAAACATACTGGAACTACAGGTGACTTATTTGAAGCAAACCTTTTTCGACGAATGGACCACTTGGTTCACTTATCAGAAAACCACTTCGGTTATCTTGAGGAAGTGGTCTCAAAGTTCACCAGATCTAAGTCCACGTCTCAGCATTTATTCTAATTCAGTAAAAGAAAACAATTTCTCGAACCATAATTATCTGAAACAGAGTATGAAACTAACTGTATTTGTTAATAGATTTTCATAAGAACTCACCTTATTTCATTGCGTATTTTTACTGATCTTTTAGTTGTCTATCTCAAATCTCTGATTTTATTGATGACTTTAACCCGGACTTCAATCTTCTGTATTCTTTCTCATGAAATACTTTAACATTACATTATGTCTCCTGAGGTAAAATCTCGGTTCCATATCTACTAAAAAGACTTTCATAAATTTGCGAACCAAGCAAAAATACATCGTATTAGTAAAGATATGAAATAACCTGTTCGCAAATTAAATAATCTGAGACAAAATAACACAAGGGATATTTTGGAAACCTAAAAACTTTCAGATCACAATACCATATTCGATTGAAGATACAAAGTCAGTAAGAACTATCAGCCATAACGGAAGATAACAAATGTATCAATTAATAGAAAGCTCTATTCCCTTGACAGTGTCATGCAACGCCTAGAAGATGATAGTCTCCAGAGGTCAATTTACCGAAAGCTGACATGGAATGGACAATACTTATATTTTAATAGTTTTTTGTCCAAATAGCTATAAGCGAACAATAGTCAAGACTCTGTACTGTAGAGCGAGGAGAACATGCTCTGCAGAGAAAATGAAGGAAGAATTTACGATTGTTGAAAAAGTGTTGAAAAACAACGGCTATCAAAGATTCATTAACAAGTACGCAAGATGTGAAGAATCAAGTGTTAAACAAGTCACAGTTGAAAAAAGCCTGTCTTCATTCAACTAGGTTTTAAAGGTGAAAACATCACAGCAATGTTCAACAGAAGACTGAATAAGTCACCCGACAGAGCTTGTCCTGCAGCTAAGTTGGCTCGCATCCATAGAACAACATGCTCTTTGGTGCAGTCAAAATCCGGCAGACACCCTTTCATGTTAAGTCCAATCGTGTATACAAATTTACGTGTATCTACGGGAGCAGTTAATTTGGGAAACAGAAAGTAGGGCGCAACCCCAAATTTCTAAACATGTGCCAAAAAGCCTACATTTCAACGAAGCCAACTCTTATAAGAGCGCTATCACCAGACATCTCCTTGATACCGGTCATGAGGTGGAAATCGCGAAAATTATCAATAGACAAAGGAGGTCGATTCTCCTCAAGTTTGCCGAAGCAATTTCTATCAAACACTTAAAGCCAGATTTATGTGTTTAGAAAGAAGCATTTATCAGTCTTTCCCTACCCTGATAACTGGATGTATTTTTTCTTTCTTTCATTTGACTACGTAATCATCGGCTTTAACTTCACCCCCCTTTGATATAGTGTAATTTCACTTGTCTCTTGTTTCTATGATTTGAGCTGAACTCACTACATTGTTATCTAATTTACTAGACACTCAGCATCTTACGCATCTCTCATCTTTATTACGCGACTCATTTGCGATTGTATGCATACGTTTTTAAACTTCAACTGCCTGTGCAAAACTATATAATCACAATTTTCAAAGCGCTGTTCACTAATTGCGAAGCTTTCTGTCAATTGACATCATGAAAAATTTGCGAGTATGTCTAAAATTTTCTGTACATAAACCTCATAATTTATTTAGCTGTGAGCAGATGATGTGAAGCCAACGAAATAAATGATGGTACCATATTATTCTGCACAAACCACTGTTGTTCTTGCTTTATTCAAATTCATTGAGGGGAATGAATGCATGAAATTAATTAGTGCAACGAAGTGATTACATAATTTTTATTTATTAGACGTTTCTCAATGTTACCTTCCTTCTTGGTTTAAAACACCTCGTACCACTTAAAAACTGGTGTTTTATTGAGTGTCTGTTTGATGAAGTGATTGCGTTGGTGTCTCAGCTATGGAATGCTCAGCAGCCACGCACGTGGCCCGAGGATCGATCCTCGGCTGATGCTCTCCGAAACTGAGCCAAGCCAGTAGTACGCCCCGTAAAGACGGAAAGTTCGGCATGAGGCTGGCAGCCCCACCCCGTAAAAATAAAACAAAACCACTGCTAGTGAAACTTCAAACTTCTAGCTTGAATCCCTGTATTCCAATCAGAATGTAAATGAGTAAAATAAATAAAATACTTATTTAATGATAATCACCACATCGATTCTGAGTCATGTTAAACTCTACCCTCTAATGGATACAACATAGTAGGAAGCACTATTTAGGAGTTTGCCGGAATTTAAAGAGTTAAATTACTTATTATGTGCAAGTTGCTATCGTTTGACACTTTGAAATAAATTTTATGCATATCTTAGCAATATTTTAATTTCACCTTTTTAATTCATGCAAACTGATTATTTTTTAAATTGCTGAACGAAAATTGACTCCACCAACTTATATTCTACAATGTTAAGTGTTATTCTATCTTATATTTGTAACATAATGCTGCCTTACAGGTGTCTCGGATACTAGTTTGACATATCTCTCAAGTTTTTAGTTCGAAAATGTCACCAAAACTAAAATACTATTTCTTCGCCATTATCCATTCAGACGTAAAGTTAAATGCTCATACGCTTGGAAAACAACACATTAAATGTGTGTGTACTTTGCCTGACTTAACTCACTAATGTTTACCAGCTTGAAAAAACAGAATAGCCCCGTAAATTTTAATTGGTCAAATAAAACTCAGTAAAAATTTGAATAATTTAAAGAATTAGATATTTCTAGATTTCTATGCAGAAACTACAGCGAAACATATTCACTCATAATCTTATGTTGATTCATTATTTCTCTTTTTTTTAATCGTTTGTTCTCTTATAAAAGATGAGACCGGAAATACGAAAAAATGTCTTTCATCTTTGTTGGAGCCTACGATCGACTCCAGTTGATAAGGTGAGTTGTATTTTCGTGGTAGCGAAGTAAAAGAATTGAGAATAATCCCATTAAAAAAATAACAAACTTCCCTACTTGCTGTAATTGCAAAGTATTAAAAATGTAATAGATTATTGATAATTCACTGGTTTTCTAATACCACTAACTTTGAAATGAAATATGCTGCAATGCAAAAACAAAAAAGACGTATCACTTTTGCTGAAAGGGCAACACTTGTACGCGTGTACGCACTTTCATATTTTGGTTCACTTCAGTCTTTATATATATATATATATATATATATATATATATACTTTTTGTGTACACATTCCTATTTAGGTCTTGATGTGATTTTCTCTGATAAGCTTAGAATCATTCCTTATTCATTATTTATGTTAAATGAAAACTATTTTTATGTCGAATGAAAGATGGAATCCTGGAGACTATAAATTCATAACAAATATTTAGCAGAGTAACAAGATACGGCATAAAGGTTAGACTTCGCTTAGAGTTAAAGCTGAAATTTCGATAAAGCATTACATTAAGATGCAACTGAGATGTTATGGGAACAAAATTGAACTTTATCTTAAGATGTAAAAGTGTCGCTTATTCACTTTTAGACAGAAGACAACACGAAGTTCAGCAAAGATAGTGATCTTCTCGGCGAATTCATTTCCAAAAGCTGTACAATAGCATTTATATACATAATTTTACATAGGTACCATTTTTACTTTATTCCACATAATTACGAAGGCGAATAAAAGGTGACAATTATTTTCAACTAGATGTGGTTTACAAGAGCTTTGGAAACAAAATTACAGAGGATTGGAACAAATTACAGGTGTATAGAAATAAGCATGGAAACAAATTGAAATAATAATAATTTTCAACTTGAAATGGAGGTGTGAATATAGAAATTGTTATTGTTATTATTGTTATTGTTATTATTACAAGAGCCTTAGAAACAAAAATAACACAGGATTAGGATATAAATGTGAACAGAATAAGCATGGAAACAAACTTAAAATAACTGTTCTTATAAATGAAAAAATGGGGTGAACTGAATGAAGAGAGTAAGAATCACACACACAGAAAACGAAAAAGATAGAAAAAGGACAAAAAAAGGAAGCTAAGGGAATATACCGAACACCGAACTAGGTCGATAGTAGTTGTAGAGGTTAGACTAATTTCTTTTGAACACACAGCTCCGGCTTTTGGATGGATATTGAGAGGGCTTCTGAAGTACAGAGTAGTCGGAAACATACTGCTTTTGGTAGGTTTCTGCTGACTTTGTAAATTACTTTCAATAAATCAGGTGAAATGTAGTGGGAGGTGTTGATCAGATGTTCAATAATGGCACTTCTAAAGGAACCGGTGCCTCCTCTTTGCAGCCACGCTGGGTAATGTTCTCTAACACGTTTTGAAAGGGTGCGCATTCAACGACTTATGTACCTAACTCAGCACGAGCAGCTGAACTGGTATGTGAACACTGAATTGGTCATACACGAGAGTTTGTCCTTCGCACTGTTTCAAAGTGCTGGGCTGCTAGACAACGTCACTCTTAGTGTCGCTGAAGGGAAAGTCTTCTTTAAAGAGCTGGATATTCTCCCCTTTAGGGTATCGGCTGCCAAATCTCCCCTGAAATTCAGATTCATATTCACTGTTCCATTGGTAATGGGATAAAAGGAGTAGTACTTTAATAAACTATTTAAAATAATCTCAGCGTGTTTAAGAATAAAAAATCAAAAAAAATCTTATCGAACGGTTCACTGTGTAAGTGACAGCTTCTTCATCAGAACTCCTTAACACGCTGGGATTATTTTAAATAATTTATAATGATTTGAATCCGACTAGGTGCTCAAATTATTCCAGGAAATTAGTGAAATCCACGGTTTGGAAACTTATAATCTTATAAGAGTAGGACTTTTCGTTACAATGAATATGCAGTCGAAATACTTTGAAGTATACAGAAACTAACATGTAAAATTATGCCTAAACTAAAACGGTTAAGTGAATATATCTGCTGATCGTTGGCAACTCACTGTCTACCTGAAGTTGTTTTACAATAAATGTAAACGACAGTAAATTATTTTGCTGCCAAACGATATGTTATTTTCATACTGCTGTAAAACTTTCAACAGGAACAAGCTCCATTTAAATTTGCGTGAATATCTAAATACACTAAGCAGCCTAGTGTCTCCTTCGATGCTTATTTTGGTTGTAGATTTTTCACTGAAAGTTTTGTTTTGTTTTGTTTTCATGATTCACTTTCTAAACAGGCTATGCACGAGTTACTTGTTTACTTAGAATCGAATATAAAAACATTAAAAAATAATGTCTCAAGTAATCTACTACAACGTTGTTTACTGTCTATATGGCATGAATGTTTAGAACAATATATTGAACAGACAGTTAAAGAGGCTGAGATTGGATCAAATAGTGTTGGTGGTCCTGGAGTGTATTTACAGTTGAAGCAAAATTTTAATACATTAGAAAATTGTTCAACTGTTATCCCGTTGTCTACACATGAAATGCATGAAATTTTGCCCAATTTACCAGTGGATATTGATAAAAATCAAGTATTTCGAGCGAAATCAACTTTAGAAAGATTGAAAAAGTCACTAGGCATCTTACTTGATTTTTTCTATAAAAATAGTGATGATCAAATAACTAGAGGTGATCTAGAAACAGAAGAGTACCATGTAAGTTTACTTGCTTGGTTTTCTAGACTTTTTTTTATATATTTTATTCCTTTGACTTACTGACTGGTTTCAACATAAAGCTTTTCACAGATATGCAACAGTTCGAGTCTTCACACTTCCTCCTTGTAGTACACAAAGCAAGTGAAGAGAGGATGGGGAGGTTCAAAAGACAGATAATACACAGACGTGTGAAGGAAAAAGAATACTGATATGGAAAAAGAGTGAATGCATCCTTGCCATCGTTGAGAACGATTTTGAGGTACATCACCAATTGTGCCCAGCCACTGGTTCTTAGCATCCCATGAATCCCAAACAGTGAAGCAGTCTACACCTCTCTACGTGCCTTAAATTAACTGTGGATTTCATTGACTAATGAAACCGTGTTTTTCGTTCAACCACCAATAATTGTTTTCCAACCTAACCCTATGTCAGTCAGTCAGTCAGCCAACATTTCCCGTCAAAGCAGGCGATAGATGGCTAAGAAGGCTTGTGTAATACATTTCCTAAACATTTCAATAGGTGTAATTTGATAACGTTGTCATCGATTTATTTCCACTCCTTACTTAGCAGTCGATTGATGCCTAACCTCAGTATTGCTCGCCTTATTTTACCAACTAATTCACGAGGTAGAACGCAGATACCCATGATCACAGACAGCTAGCCATGCTTTTAATGTCTTCCACTTTCCATGACCAGGTCTCACAGCCATAAACGAGGTAGGAGCGGACTGCTGAGCAGTACGCATGCCCTTCGGTTGACAGAAGCATATCACGCTCTACCACTTCCCCCTCCCTTATCTTTAAGCTAGAATTTGATGTAGCCCAGTCCTGTATCATCATCTAACATTTGACAGAGGAAGCAAGTCGCGTGCCAAACATTGGAAGGTTGCTGCTCACTGTCTTCAGAAGACTCTACATTTTTCCAGCGTCTTCACCTGACAGGGAAAACTATATCATTTGCACATCCTAAGTCAACAACATCAAACCCTGGTAACATAATAATTCCTGGATTGCTGAAGTCAGTCGGCATTAATTCCATTAATACATCTATAGTGAAATTAAACACAAATGGGGACAGTAGGCATCCCTGACGGATTCCTTTACTTTCTGAGTAGAATATGGGGCTTCAAGTTAGAGCTTTAAAGTGTCGATAACAGCATTTTTTATTTTTACGAGATGGATTAACTAACCTCGCTACCCCTTTGCCGGAATTAATATCGGCTTATTGAAGCTCACGAGAGCAAATTATTACTCATAAATTCAGACTGATTGTATTTTACAATACAAAAACATTTTAATTCACCTAATCTTAATGAAGAAGTGAAGAAAACATACTATTAAACTGCATATGATAAGTATGTCTGAGGCCCCTTAATATCATTATATCAGATATCTTATCCAGGGTATCTCTCATTTAGTCAATATGTAGTATAGAAAGTTAAATGCTTATATGTAAAGAGTTTTCACCTTAAGTCGACACTGTCTGAACAAACTATATGCGAGCCAATAAGAGCATATAATTGTATTGTCGTAATATAATACTGGTTACTGGTTATCACACTTAAAACAGGCAGAATGAAATTCAGTAAATGCTATTACATATTAACAGTTATATATTTCCGAACCAAGTTCACTTTTGGCAGTTTGAAAAAATTTGGGCATTGGGTATATGATATTCATTATAATAAAGGTTTTTGTATTTCCCAATGAATGAAAAACAAAACGACATTGCTGCTTTTACAATAGCCTTTTATTTTTCATTCATTGGGAAATACAAAAACCTTCATTACATATTAACAGGTTGCGGGATTGCATAAAACTCAGTTAGCTTCTGCTTTAAATCAATATGTACTTGCGTGTTATCACGATAATCTATGACTCTTTTATCACAGTGTCAATTTTGAAAATTAATATACTTATTACATTTAACTCCACTAATACAAAAGACCCTACCTCCGTTTGTTGGGTTTGTTACAATCAAATGGACTAAGACATAGATGCAGTGATAGTGTAAGCGACAAGACATTTCGCTCACTACCTCTTGCTTCATAGAGTCACGAAAATACGGGAAGACAAATATATATATATATATATATATATCCTGTACAAATAAATTTACAACAGGCCGATGTTAAAACAACCGATTCTGATTGGCTGTATGAAATCGAACACTATCCGATAAATTTATCATGCCCATTTAAGTACAAATATCTAAATCTGGAATATATCGTCTTTTACCATATTAGTTAGTGACTTAAATTATTGATTTTAGTTTTAACTACATACACACTGTAAGGCGTGCATATTTATCAAGTTTATGCTCTATAAAGTTGAAGTTTAAATTACTCAAAACCTTTCAGAGAATAATTGACCTTTTTTTACCTTTTATTTCAAATCTTCCAGAATGTTCACTATTTAATTCAGTTGTATAACAGCAGCACCCCGGAGGTTGTTGAACAATATTTTATTGAAAAGCTTCAAGAGCAAGTAAGATGTCTTCATATTCATTTGCCCAAAGTCTTATTTATTTTATATTCCATTATGTGAGCCAATCTACTGGAATGACATTTTGTTCTCTGAAAAGAAACCAAATTAACCAAGGGTGTGAATACCAAGTGGTACTAATAATAATAATAATTTTTCCTTCACGTTCCCAGTGGAACATAGGGCTCCAAGCTAGTGACTTGAAGTTTCTGTAGCAGTGTTTAATTTTTACAGGATGGGGTTGCTAGCCTCATGCCCAACCTTTCCTCTTTACCAACATTATTTCTGGCTCAGTGAGGTAAAGGAGTGCGCCGGCCGGGGATCGAACCCTGGACCATATGCATTGTCGGCGAGCGTACTAACCGCTATACCACCGACGCACTAAGTGGAACTAACGGGTCATAATAAATCTGTATAAATACTTGTTAGCAAGTAGATGTCTACATTCATTTCAACTCAGCATCTATATTCTAAGGTAGAGACATTCGGTGTCATCACTTACTATTGTAGAAATATCCTTTCTATATAAGAGCACTGAAAGCAACTTTTGGAATGAATAATTACAAAGAAAAAGAAATTTCCACTCACTTTTAGAAAACGCATACATGAGTTCTTCATTAAAACCATGGAAGAGGAGAAAAGTTACAGTATAATAATCTGCATTTGAATTTACTTGTGTCATCACATAGAGGCTTAAAATATCTCTTAAACTCCGTGACTGATCTCAGCACTTATAAGATACAGCTTCACACTTTCGTTATAATATGCCACGAAAACAAGTACAGTTGAACAGTTAAAGTCTTCTGAAATGCTTTCCCAGCAGTAAATTACTTTGTCACCATCAATTATGACTGATTTCATCACCTTGCATTAAACTTAATGATTAATAATGCAGTGGAATGTCTACTGTCTGCAGTCATTCAGAAATAAACGAGCCTTTATTTGTTGTTGTTGCTAACTTCCTAAGCCACTACTCAATCAGACTGTTGCCCACTGGTTTACAAGTTGTCAGCATGGATCAGTGGTAAGGCGACGCTTAGTAAAAAAATAACTTGATTAACTGAAATGGGATAACGCAGGTACGGTCTTGACTTTATCAATTTCCACTGAATACAGGGGACTGACTTTCAGTTCACAATATTTCATACGCTATAACTCACTTTATCTAAATGTTTTCATCAGGTTGTAGTATCATAACGATGTAACCACCATATTGTGTACATAAAAGGAATGATTGAAGGATATTCATAGAGTCGTTTCGTTCTAGCGTGAGGCTTATTATCGGCGTGTTATCGTCAATTATTTATATTTGTAATAAAAAACCGTAGAGGCTTTCGAAATAAAACTGAGTTATGTCAGGACAATATAACCGGTATTATTCCAAATAAAATGTTCACTTATTCATTTTTTAAACAACGTTTAAGCTTTATTTTGTGTCAAAATTTTAAAGTGATAACTCTGCCTCACTCAGACCTAACTTTTCACTCGTAACAATTCTGTTTACTTCCATTATGGGTAAATTTTGTTTTGATAAAGTCTCACAACGTTAAACCGTAATGTTTACTGATGACGTTTCGAGCACAATTTATTGCTCATAATCATATCAAGGTAATCACACGACTTCCTAAATTCATTTATATAGTTCCATTGTTTTTCTCTTGATTTTCACTTGATTTGATTGGTAATAGTATTTTCCATATTTCAGGTATGAGTGACGAGTCATTCCTATTGCATGTGTTGGGTGTAGACTCGATGAACAAGGATTCAGTAATCAACCTCTCTCTCCACCTACCTAGATTACTTTTTAGAATTTTAACCCTCTCCCACCCTATTGTGTGGTTGTGTGTTAGCGCATGCATTGCAATTGCTGAGCTTTTTTCCAAATTACTTATCTTCTCGGGGTCAACCATTCTTACCTTAGCTAAATTTTTATGCTCTGACAATCTGACTACCCCTGACCTACTAGTTTGACCTATGTAGTTGACCTCACAGTCATTGCATGGTATTTTGTAAATAATATTATTTTGTCTAATTGGGTCAACTGGGTCCTTTAACCTACAGAGCTTGTCCCTGAGTGAGTTTGTAGGTTTAAATGCCACCCTAATTCCTATTTTATTCAGAATCCTACGTAGTGTCTCAGATGTCCCCTCTTTATATGGTATAACTGTGGATGACTTATATTCTTTCTTATTTATGTTATTATTACTAGTTTCACAATTATTTTTATTTTGTTTTTGGCCTTTAATGATCTTCCTAATGAATTTTATAGGATAGTTATTCAACACCAACGCTTCTTCTATCTGTTTTAATTCATCATTTAGATCTTTTTTTGTGCTACTTAGTGCCACTGCTCGGTTTGTTAAACATTTAACTAAGCCTGCCTTAACAGTTAAAGGATGAGACGAATTAAAGTCTAAATATCTATTAGAATGCGTTGGTTTTCTATAAACACTAGTGTGTAGTTTGCCTTCTTCTATTCTTTTTATCTTACAATCTAACATAGCTAATTCTCCTTGTTCATTTTCTGATTCAAATGTGAATTTTATTCCCTCAACTTGTGAGTTTATATGTGTCAAGAAGCTAGAGATGTGTTCTGTTTTTAACACTGTGAAAGTGTCATCCACATATCTCCACCATATTTTCGGAGTAGGGTTAAATGTATTGAGGGCACTATTTTCCCAGCTGTCCATAAATATGTCTGCTACGATAGGGGATATTGGTGATCCCATTGCTACACCTTCTGTTTGTCTATATATTTTGCCTTGGAACTTAAAGATAGTAGATGTGAGGCATAACTGAATCCCTAAAATAATTTCTTCAATGGACAGCTTTGTCCTATGACTGAGTTCCGGATCCGCAGTTAATTCTTTTTTAACTGCTTCTAAGGCCATATTAACTGGTATATTAGTATAAAGACTAGTTATATCAAAACTAACCATTTTTTCATCATTTTCTAGTTGAATGTCATTTAGCTTACTTTTCATCTCATATGAATTAGTTAGTCTAGAGTTTGAGCGATTTCTAATGGGACAAAGTATTAGAGCTAAGTGTTTTGATAATTCATTCACACTGCACAAGTTTTATTCTTATATCAATTCTGTTTACTACTCACTGAAAAACGATTGATGAATTTAAAATCTGTTAAGTTTTAGAGATGAAATCTGTTTTAGAAAAATTAAATTGTTGACAATATGAGGATGATTTTAAACAGTACAAAGTCTGCGTATATTCGGGTTTCAATGGAAATAAAACTACCAACACTAATGAATGTTCAGTGTATTGAACAGTTTCCAAGAAAATGAAAATACTGGCATGATTCTTTCTTATAGCTATCAATAGACAATAATAATGAAATCTGTTTTGTATGATTTTTAAGAGGGCAGAATTCCTAATCCACGTTTCCATACACTGGAACTTTTAATGAATGTCATGTGTGCGTCGGTGGCATTGTGGTTAGTACTCTCGCCGACCTTACACATGATCCGAGGTTCGATCCCCTGCCGACGCACACCTGATATCTATGGTTGGCCTGCAAAAGTTGGGCTACCGATATCACATGCTGAAAATTTCATACTTGTACCAAAATTACAGTGTGGAATCAAGCTGTAATCAAAAAACAAAAAAAAATTAAATTTTATGAACTCAAATTACCTAATTTCTGAAAAAGTTTGATGAATACTGTATTTATTTTATACATAAAACATTCACCAAAAAAGGAAAATAGATTAATAAGCAAGAGATATTATTAGTGAAAAGCACTTATATCCTTTAAAGAATCAAAAGAGTAAACCTGTTTTTCAGAGAGTATTTCGTTGTATCATTAATCAGCAGAAAACAGGTCATTTACGTATAAATAACGGAGTTACTTTAAGCTGACCTGACAATCTCAGGTTCCTCCCTGCTTGAAGTGACAGGTTCTCATTTCTAAAATATCTACGTTCAAAACAAAATACCACTCCTGATCACCTATTTTGGCAGTAGCTCTTAGGAAAAATCTAAATTCCAAACAAAGTTTATCTGAAATACATCGTCAAGATAAATATAATATTCATTGGTCTATGAAGTAATATTAAGCGCAGACACTTGAGAATGAACAAACAGGCAGTTGATTTACGTTCAGATATTCTGTTGAACTGTATTTATCTTCTGAAAGGTATTTAGTAAGGAATTTTTCTTGCTAATGAACAAATCTACGTTAGCACAAATCAGTCACTTTTTTTGTCACATTTTAGTGACATAACCGCACAATTATTTCAGGGGATTCAAGCTAAACACAATGATATCACTGTTAAGACATTTTGAAGGGTGATAATAGTCTATGTATGAGTGAACACCTTCAAAATCATATTGCTGACAATGCTGGTAAGGGTGCTTACTTCATTTCTTTCGAGACTTGCTATCTGATATCACACGTGCTTCAATAACAAAATAATACTCTCAGTAAAATATGCACTTAAAACTTAGTCATATCCATTAGGATCCACAGTCAAGACATCTACTTTTTGAGTGACAGTTACAGTTGGATGATTCTTTTTCCTTTTATGAAACCCTATATTTCTACATTTTGTTGAGATTACGTCAATCAGTTTTCCGCTGACATATATTTCCTTGAATTTGTTTTTGTTCCTTCACGTTCCCTGTCGAACATACAGCTACAATATAGAGGCTTGTAGGGTGAGTAGCACTAGTGCTTGTTTTTCACGGGTCAGGGTTGTTAGCCTCATTCCCAACCTACTTTCTTTACTAGTCTTATTACTGGCTTATAGATGTAAAGGAGGGCGTCGGCCGGGAGTCAAACCCCGGACTACATGAGTGGTTGGCGAGCATTCTACCACTGTGCCGCCGACGCACCTTCCTTGAAAAAATAACTTTGAACTGTTTTCCATTCCATTTTTACACTTTTGATAAAACTGTACACTGCTATTCAGTTACAAGTATATTTTATTTGAATTTGCATTGCATTTAGCTGATTCAAGGAAAACAATTCACTAATAAATGAAACTGTTACCATAACCTATTCATTGTGTGGAGAATTTTTACTAAAAGATAGTTTAAGTGGCATGACGTTTAGGCATCCCTTTCTGTGGCGTAGATTTTCCACTTTTCATTGTACCAAACTGTTAGTTGGAGACTGCAGTTAAATACTGGTCAATGAAATCACGCGTGATTGCTTCAATATTAAAAAGTTCACTACAGATCTGAAGTATTTTCAGCTTGCCTTGTCATCCTAATCTCTTTTACATTACAATGTGAAATGTCTCCACCATTTATTTTTCTATTTCTTACAGTTTCTTACTGGACATTATCATATTTTGAAAGCTAATGAAACATTTGTCGGAATTAGTGCACTAGTAATTTTGTAGCTCAAATTTACAGTAATAGTATCTTTACCATAGCATATAATTCTTTTCTTTACTTGTCTCTGCCTGTTCAGGAATTAGCCTGTTCCTCATCATATGGTAAACTGACAGTTAAAGTTAACTATCAGCGCTCAACATTACATGTAGACATACAACGAGCTAAGAATCTTGTACCGCTTGACTCAAACGGTAAGTTCACTATCCAACTTTGTTTTTCACTTCTTACGTTTCACGCGAACCATGCGGCTTCATGTTTTTCTTTGAGCTATAGAAGCTGTGGCATTATTTTACGCTACAGAGTTACTTGCCTCACATCCAACCTTTCCTATTATCTGAACCTTCGAGTTAACTACATGAGTTTTAGCAACGTGTTGCCTTAGAATCAAATCCGGATTATGTGACTGGTCGATAAGCATTCAGCCATCGAACTACTGATTCACCAAACTGTTTATTCAAAGAGAGAGAAATTCACTTGCTCTGAAAATTTGTTCTCTAAACTTAAGTATTTTATTATCTTTTTCAGATTCGTTATCAACTATGCTTTTTTTCTTGTGCGTATAATAATTTCTGTTAAGTTGACTTTCAATCAGCTGAATGAACTTTTAACTCAGCTAAGGGTGATAGAAGTGAAATCACCATTATTCCGATATCGTATGTTGTAAAACCTTTGAATTTCTTTCATCTAAACTTGACTAAGCAGTAATACACTGTGCTATAATTTATGTCTTTATAAACTTCCTTCTGGAGAAAAACTTTCGAAACCTTTAATTTATCATTGATTTTCGATGGATTACAGTTCTAATAGGCAAAAGCGTCATGCTGCATTATAAAGGATTTCCAGAAGAAGGGTACTATGAAAAAAAAAGGGAAGAAAACTCGTTTTCCAAGTAGCAAACCATCCTATTCCAACAATCTAGAGTAAAAATTTCTTAATCCTCTGAATAATGAACTAATAGAGAAGTAAGAAAATTATTACAAATAATATCTAAACAATATCTCGTGAAAGAAATATTATTATTAATATTATTATTATTGATTCCTTTACTTCCTAGAGGAACATAGGGCTTCAGTCGCACGTCTATATTGCGTTCGGTTCTCCGCCAACGTTTTCATCCCGCTACAAGTCTGCCCACATGCTTTCATCTCCTCTTTACATGACCTCCTCCAAGTCACCCTTGGACGACCAACTCGTGGCTTCTCGTTTGAATTCCACTCGACAGTCTGTCGAGTGATTTCACTTAATGGTTTCCTCAGAGTATGGCCAATCGACCTACATTTCTTCCTGAAGTTTTGCTGCACAATCGGTTCCTGGTTGGGTTTTTCGTTTCCAGAGATTCCTGTCGCTGATCTTTGCTGGCCATCTTATCTTGAGTAGTATTTAGCGAAGACAACTGTTAATGAAGGCTTTTAGTTTGTTTGAGGTGCTCTTTATGACGTGCAGTGCAAGTCTCTGATCCGTATAGTAGCACTAATAGAAATATATCCACAAATTTTACAAGGTTGTATGTTTAATATTAACCGATTAGTGAGTTGTCAGGATGTGACGAATTTGGATGACAGCGTAGTGCTTACCTATATGAAATTTACTTAAACATATACGAAAGATCCAGATTTAAAGTGTTCATCAGCTAACGGACTACCTTCCAAAAAGATTCTGTCCCCTGTGTTAAAACATTTCCTTTAAGCGTATTATTTGATCCTTTAAAACATCTTTTTGTTTCGGCATGTAGTAAAGTACATTTTGTTCTAATAAATAAGATCATAAAGGAAAAGTTATCTTCACTGTTCATTATCCAAGAGAAACTTTGAAGTGATACTCCAAAAAAAATGATAACAAGAAACGTCTTTTGTAAATTTGACTAAGAAACAATAAATGGTAATCGTCCACTTCTAAGTATTCGTTTCTTAAGAGGATGAAATCTGAATTCAACTGAATAAAATAGGTTTATCAGAAAATTTGAGGTTTTTTATTCTCCCAAGTGTTTTGTAATTCACTTTCAACAGAATCAATATCAGTAAATTAAATATTCCCATAATTTATTCAGAACAAAATATTTAGAGCGAACAATTGTTTTCAATAAATTCTTCTTCAGGCTCTACAATTATAAATCCATTAATGTAAGCATACAATAGCCAGTAAAGGCGAATTAGAATCATATCAGAAAGTGTATTGTGGAACAAGTATAAGATGGGATGAAACAATAGTCATATAGTCATATAGTTTTTTAATATGCATGGTCAATAACAACATGGGACAGAATGAGATGAAATAATTTAATGATGTGTGTATATATATAAATATAGTTGACAGAAAATACAGGTTTCAAGGGTGAGTGTAATCAGGGTGTGTGAGGCAATATGAAAATAAACCAACGAATGGGGCGGTCTAGACTTAAGTTCAAGGTTGAAAATAACAACAATAAGAATGATTGTAAAATAATAACGATGATATGGTGTAAAATTAAAATTAAATGTACTATTGGTGAATGATTGTCAAATAATAATAATGAATATAATGAAGTGGAATGAACAGGATTTTGTAAATACGATAGTAAGTTAGAAAAGCACTATTTAAACCTAAGGTAATAAAATCATAAGAAAGGTCATGAAATCATAAAAGTCGAAAATGAACGTTTGTCAATGAAACAGAGGAATAGAAGAAGGAAAAGAAAAGAAAAGAAAATCGCGAAAGGAATTTATAGTGTTAATGGAGGATTTGTTGGCTTTATTGTAGGCCAAGGTAAACATAGAGGTTGAACATACTTCTTCTGTATGCAGAGGGATGGTCTTCTGGTATTAATTGCAACTGCTTCAGCTACTGATAGAAGACGTAGTCGAGCTCCTCTAGATAAATTACTAGGAACACGGTAAATAACTGAGAACGCTTGGTCAAGTTTTATCGGGTGTCCAGTATCTACCAAGTGGGCTAAGACTGCACTATTTATGCCTTTGGTTACTCCTTTACTCAACCATACAGGTACATGTTCACGTGCGCGCATGGATAAAGCCCTCTGAGTACGGCCAATATAACTAGCTCCACATGAGCAGTTGAATTCGTAGATGCACATTGATGAGGCCATCTTTGGTAATTTATCCTTTACTTGCTGTGTGAGTACTGGTTTAGTTGAGAAGTTTAGTACCAATTTAGCTGCGGGAAATGTTCTATCTATTGCTCTATTGAGTCGACACTTTAGAATGTCAGCTGCAATTTCCCCTTTGTAACTTAACTTAAGATACAAAGGTTTCTTGTCTACGGTATCCACCTTTTCCCTGTCTATAGGTATTGACATATACTTTCTTAGGAAGCTCTGTGGATATCCATTCTCTTGCAGTGTGAGTTTTAGTTTATGCATTTCTTCCTTAATGCATTCCTCTGAGCATATTCGTTTTATTCTGTAGCTAAGACACTTAACTAAGTTTCTTTTATGCTGAATCGGTGTGAAACTATGGAAATGGGTGTACTGACCCGTCCAAGTTTTCTTTCTAAATAATTTCCTTTGTAGATATCCATCTGTCTTCATGGTAAGTAGGACGTCTAGGAAAGGTAAACTGTTATTGTCTTCTTCTTCACATGTAAACTGAATAGTTGGGTGAACACTATTAACGGTATTCAGAAGCTCTTGTTTATTAAGATTTCTATTACAAACGATAAACGTATCATCTACGTATCGACAATAATAGTCAAACCCTTTAATCGTGTCTTTGAGTGGACCATTTTCAAGCTTTGCCAGGAAAATATCCGCTAGCAAAGGGCCCAAAGGTGATCCCATGGCTACCCCATCAACTTGTCTATAAAAACCATTATTGAACATAAACTGAACGTTCATAGTGCACTTCAATAATAATTCTTTGACCTTTTCGGGTGGGATTCCTACATCTATTTTCTTTTCTATCAGCTGGTCACATATGTAGTTGACTGTTTCAAGCAGTGGGACATTGGTGAATAATGATGCTACATCCAGTGACATCATTTTCTTTCCCTTTACATTCAAGCTTTTGGTAGTTTCCACAAAGCTGAATACGTCTTTTACACTGAATTTCACTACTTCGCGATGTAGTGGTTCTAGTGCCTTTACCAACCACTTAGCTGTAGAATGATAAGGGGATTGGCACATATCTAAGATGGGACGTAGTGGTACCCCCGGCTTGTGAACTTTCGGTAAACCATAAAGTCTTGGTGTGTGCGTACCTGAGGGTTTCAATTCGTCGAGTGTTTCTTTAGGAATCAGATTACTCTCAATATCCAAGAGAAAATATTTTCCGTTCGATTTTTTACCTACAGCTCCTGTCAGGATAATGTTATCAGTAGTGATGAGCACACGAAAATATGCTTCGATTGGACTAGTGTATTATGTCTAGTCATTGTTTGGTGTGGATTGAATTCTGTCAGTCAGCTTTTCAGTGTGACCACCATTCTAGGTACCTTGCCATCAAGATGCACATTGATTTGTCAATGTTAGGTGGTTGAAAGCAATCGCCTGGAAGCCTTGGAGCTAGATCTCGTGCTAGATGGCACTCGTCAGCAGGAATGGTTGCCAGATTTCAAACCTGACTGATAAAATTCAGTCTGCAAAAAACAAAGGACTAGCTAGACACATCACACTAGTTACTAGTGTCCAATCAAAGTATCCAATACAGTCCTACATGAGGTCAATCGCAAGCCCGAATAGCTCAGTGGTAACGTCTCTGACTGTAGCATTAGGTGACGCAGGTTTCAATCTCAGAAGGGAAATGAGTACTATGAAGGTTGAAGACACATCTTACTGACTTGTGAGTGCCAACTAGCACTAAACCTGAGTCCACGGCGTCCTGCCTATTGCCCCCAGCCATCTAATATCAACATGAAAATATAAAGTATTACTCAAACTTTATCTGAAACTGGTCTCCTTTACTTCTGGTGAATGGCATTCATTCACACAGGTCACCATAAAGTTCTGCAACGTCGAGAGTAATAGATTTCATATGAGCAAGGTAAAAAAGTTTAATAAACATTCCTTTACAAGTGACAAAGTGTGTTCAAATATTCTACTTTTTGTGTTTATCAGATGAAAAACAACTAAACTACTGTTTTTTTTTTACCTGAAAGGTTTATCGGATCCATTCATAATTATCGAACTATTACCTAAACATTTATTCTCTGAGACTCCGAAATCCTCGAGAACAAAGATTGTCAAGAACACAGTTGATCCTGTGTTTGATGAACACTTTGAATTGTAAGTGTTTGGCGTACTTTCTTTTTTCGTGTTATTTTTCGATGAATTTTGTCTTGGCGAATACTGTTCATTGGGCTAATACACTTAAAGAATATTTCACTTGATTTATGTGTACATCGCTAAATGAGGAAAACAACCATTTATATACAGATTAGTCACTTAAAATTTCAGTGAAAAATACCACACTTTACAGTTGAATGTGTCTATCTCAAATCTTAAATGGAGTATGAATGTTTACAAAAGTATCAGATACTACTGAATGATGAATTTGAAGTCTAAAGTGAGCAGTTATCAACTGCATAACTTCAAATAATTACCACACTTGCTGGCGTCTCAAGAAAGTACTAGGAAACATAGTATTTGTTCTTAAGGTAAAAGTCTTTTCTTGTGTTTAGCTTACTGCTGCAAAATGATATTAATCCAATCATAAAAGTACTGAGCAATACTGCGTAGAATAAAGTTTTTACTCAACTTCGAGCGATGAGTAATCGTTAGTTGGGAGTTGTATTCTAATCAGGTATGAAATCTAATCGCTATGTTAGGTGATACATCACTGATCTGCATATTTATAAAAAATTTTTAGCTATTGGTTAGGAATCTGAAATATATACGAATGAGTATTTTTCCATATTTGATGATAGATCTATAAAATTTATACCGTTCTATGGAAAGTGACTCAATCTGATTTTTAAGAGTATGGAAATTAAGCATTTAGAACAGATTTTCAATATTCTTAAGAAAATTTGAAGAGGGTAATTATCTACAGTGAGTGATTTCTTATTTAGGCATTGCTGCCACATGACTTTAGGCGATACCGAGAATTGTGGAAATAAGTTTGATTAAATCTCGGATGCTCTTTTGCTTTCATTTCGATAAAGAAATAACTGAAGGCATTATTGAATGGTATCGCATTATTTAAAATGATCTTCTTGAGAGATTATAGATGTCCTCATTCAGTTAACATGTACGTTCGTTAAGTTCTTTTTAACAAAAGAAACAAGTTCCTCGAACTTATTTTCATTCCTTTAGGTTCCCAGTGGAATATAGGGCTTCAAGTTAAAGGCTTGAAGTTTCGGTAGCAGTGGTGTTTATTTTTACGGAATGGGGTTGCTAGCCTCCTGTCCAACCTTCCCTCTTCACTAGTCTTATTACTCGCGAAGTGAGGTAAAGGAGTGCGTCGGTGGTCGGGAATCGAGCCGCGAACCACCTGCGTGGTTGGCGAGTATTCTACCACTGGGTCCCACTGGCTTAAGAACTTGTCTTTAGGCCAATGGTTCCAAGGTTTAAACCTCCTCATATCTACTTCAGATTGAGCAGCCAGGTAGTATTATTAGTCCTCACACCACAAGTGCAGCTGATAGCCTGGAATCGGGTCAAACTGACTAACTCAACAATAAGTATAAAAGGCTTTAAAATAATCACCATCTGACTTTCCTTAAGTGCTCACCAATGAAATTAAGTTAGAACCATAAGTTTGTTAAAATGAATATGTTTTGATAATAACAAACGTCAGTTGTTCTCCCACTCGACAGATGTTTGACCGACATTTTATTGACCCAACAATCAATGTGTTCAACTGTTATTTAGCTAAGAAAGTTAATCAGACTGGTAAAACAAAGAATCGGATCATATCTTTTGCAAAATACACCGTCCGGGTTGAAATCATTTTAGTAACCGAAATTCGAACTTTTGATGACTTAGCTTTTATGTATTAGAGCTTAACACTACATTAAGGCACTCTATTCGTACTCATACAGCCAGGTGAGGGCTTACGGCGAGCTGTCATCTGAACTGATGACGACCAGTGGTGTCCGTCAAGGATGCCCATTATCTCCTTTTCTATTCAACTTCATCATAGATGTGTTAATGGACTTAACCCTAAGTGACTTCAGCGACTCAGGCATTGACTTGCTACCGGGAATAATCTCGTTGACTTGGAATATGCAAACGATATAATCCTTCTAGGCGAAGACGCTGACGAAATGGAGAGTCTTCTAAACACCTTGAGCCGCAATCTACGAATGTTTGGCATGCGATTCGCTCCCGCCAAACGCAAGATGATGTTACAGGACTGGACTACATCGACGTCTAGTTTAAAAATAGGAAGTGAAGTGGTAGAGCACGTTGACCGCTTCACCTATTTGGGAAGTACCATCAGCCAGTGCCAACGGGCTGATCTCTGACGAAATCTCAGCACGAATACAAGGTGCTCGTTTCGCATTTGTTAGTTTACGCCGACTCTGGCGTAGACGAGATATTCGACTATCGACCAAAGGGCGGGTGTACTGCTCATCAGTCCGCTCCGTCCTCCTTTATGGTTGTGAGACCTGGCCACTGAGAGTGGAAGACATGAAAAGACTAGCTGTCTTTGATCATAGGTGCCTGCGCTGTATTTCCCGTGTAAAGTGGCATCATAAGGTGAGCAACATTGAGGTTAGGCGTAGAGTTCTAGGTAAACAGGGGAAATCAATCGACGAAGTCGTGAAGCTACATCGACTGAGATGGTTAGGACATGTGTTACGTATGCCAAGCCATCGCCTCCCTCGACAATGAGCAATGTTAGCGGATATAGGGTCAGACTGGAAAAAAGCTAGCGGCGGTCAAACAAAAACTTGGCATCAGTCAATGAAATCCACAACAGTTGGTCTAAGCCACGTAGAAAGGTGTAGACTTCCAGGCTGGGGTCCTCAGGACGGTAAAAATCTATGGTTGGAAACAATTGGTGACATGGCTCAAAGAGATCGTTCTCAATAGCTGGCACAGATGCATCCACTCCTTGACTTATGATCTTCAATGAAACTGTTTTGTATTTCTTTATTACTCCTTTGTCTCACACCTCCGCTCACTGTTTCTATTATGCTTTTCTTGTACTTTCTTCTCTTGCTTCGCGTGCTACACGGAATGTGGCGACTTGAACTTCCGCACATTTGTGCAAAGTTCTATGTCGAAAACAGACAGACAGACAGACATACACATATGCATGCATTTATATTCACTTTATTTTTATTCGGACAGACTGAAATGAAATTTTCACCAGTAATCATATTTTTCAAAATAATATACAGTCTGTTTGCATCAGTTTTACTATTGTCCATATGCATTTCGTGATGGTTTGTAACACAATACAGGGTGCTATTAAATTTTGCGCCTGCGTAATCAGCTTGATGATATATTAAGAATGTCAGTAAACATTATGACAGAATTAGGCTTATCATATTTAAATGACAATTATGCGTTGAATTTAAATGACCAACTTGAAGAATATTCGATTTCATATATTACACTTGCTTATCACAAGATAAATAAAAGTTATTGGTCTATTTTACTGGACTAAACAAATGCATAAACTTCAATGAACATAATGCTTTGTTAGTTTGCAAATTGACTGGAAGGTCATTAGGTCAAATAAGTTGTATGATGGACTCTAAGATACGCATAACAATGAGCATACATCAAGAAATGTGTGCCTTGGTTTGATATGTTACAACCGATATGTTTTTTCTATGTAGAGTAGTGAGTGATTATATCGTATTGAATGATGTGCATAAAGATTCCTAGTTTAATATTAGGACAAAACTGGCCAGTGGCCAGAGGATAAATTAACACACCAGGAATCAATGTATACAATTGGTGGATGGTGGGTAGCAGTGGAATCCAGGATGCGCATTTCGTCCTATTTGAGACTCATCAACTGGATGTACCTGTATTTCTCAGTGTGTGATGATGTTCCCATCGAGGCTCGAACCCAGTACCCATAGTTTCAAACGCCAAAGAGTTATTCACTAGACCACTTGGGCCACGAGAGCCACCTCTTGTGCAACGGGTCATATTAATTATTGAATTGAATTTTTGATTTTCCCATCGATTGATTGGACCGAAGTGTTCGGTCTCAGGTTGACATATCGGCTTCTTGTGCAGATGCTTCGACGATGTCTGGGTATTTAGTTAGTATACAATTGGTGGATGGTGGGTAGCAGTGGAATCCAGGATGCGCATTTCGTCCTACTTGGGGCTCGTAATCTGGATGTACCTGCATTTCTTAGTGAGTGGTGATGTTCCCATCGAGGCTCGAACCCAGTGCCCATAGTTTTAAACACCAAAGCGCTATCCACTAGACCACTTTGGTCACGAGAGCCACCTCTTGTGCAATGGGTCATATTAATTTAATTTGAAATTTTCCCCTTATATCAAGGTGATATGATTATGAGCAATAAATTGTGCTCGAAACGTCATCGGTGAACATTGCTGTATAACAGTGTGAGACTTTATCAAAACGAAATTTACTCATAGTGGAATTACAATCTACCACAGTGCACAAGTTTTATTCTTATATCAATTGAGATTTTCCCGTCGACTGATTGGATCGAAGTGGTCGATCTAGTGGATAACGCTTTGGCGTTTGAAACTATGGGCACTGGGTTCGAGCCTCGGTGGGAACATCACCACTCACTAAGAAATGCAGGTACATCCAGATTACGAGCCCCAAGTAGGACGAAATGCGCATTCTGGATTCCACTGCTACCCACCATCCACCAATTGTATACTAACTAAATACCCAGACATCGTCGAAGCATCTGCACAAGAAGCCGACATGTCAACCTGAGACCGAGCACTTCGGTCCAATCAATCGACGGGAAAATCAAAAATTCAATTCAATAAGGAATCAATGTAATTAAAAACCATATGCCACTCTCTATAAATATTAAGAAATACAGACAAGATTTTGCAGGCGTATTCATGAAATTGCAAAGAGAATGGCCTACTTACTGCATACGCAACAGAAAATATTTAAAACAGCTGTGGGCAGGCTGTGTTGAATATCCTGAATTTTCTTTCACTAACCACTAAATGTTAACAGCCTAATTAGTGTAAGTGTAGAATCTATGGAGGACCATAGAAAAAATAAAATTAGCAATAAAAATGACAAAAATAACGAAAATAAATGTAGAATTCAAAGCCTTTGTAGTATTGCTGTTTAAAAGGAGGACATTAGAAGTCTTACGTAGAATTCTCAACGACGCTGGAATTAGGGTGGCATTCAAACCAACCAACCAACTCTCCTAGAGAAAATGTTTGTCGGCTTTAGGATCCAATAGATCCAATTAAGAAAAATAATATAATTTAACAAATACCATGTAATGCTGACTGTGGGGTCAGTTATATGGGTCAAACTAGTAGACTGAGGTCAGTTATATTATTGAAAAATAAAAATTGAGCTAGACCCTGCTAATGTAGAAAAAAGCTCAGCCATTGCACTATATTCACTTGCAGGTAATCACACACAATTGGTTAGGATGGACAGGGTGAGAGAGAGGTTAATCACTCAAGCTTTGTTTAACGATTCAACACATACATCGGAGATATAAAAAGTAGCAACAAACAACAAAGGGAAGTTGGAGAGACAGAAAGAGTGGAAAAAATAAATTAGGCAAATTATGAAACCATGTGACTAAAACTAATATGATTATATGAGTGGCGATAATTTATGCACGAAACCTCGTCATCGAGTTGTTAATACTGTATCACTGTCTGGTATTTAAAACAAACTTATTTAATACAGTTTTAACAGCCTACTTCATTATTCCGATTGAACAGTAGTATGAACCACAGTCATGTAGATTAATATGTACTTTTGAGTAATGTATTAGCGAGTATATTTAACATACTACTAGTTAAGTATTATATATACTATCATTTTCATGGGATAAAATAATACTGAGTGGAAAATTTTACCAACTTAAGACTCTTATTGATTCTGCTTATCAGTCGCTTGTATAATAAAGTCAACGGTTATTCACAGAGAATTCCCATTAAGAAATGCAGAAAATGAAAAGTAGTGTTTCAACCATCCGACTATTTTCAACGAGTTTATTGTCGCACCGTAAAATTATATATGTACATATATATTAGATATTTTTTTTAATGTTTTAATGTTTACTGAAACAAAATATCTGTGGTTATAATCATAGTTAGGTTATGTAATATATGAAATAAATCACGAAACTGATAAACTTTATAAAGTAATGTGGAATTAATATGATCCGCATGTGAATAAAGCATTACCTAGAAAGGTATTAATTTTGATAAGGTAAAACTTTGAAAAGTTATGTGAAATTAAATAAATAAAAAGTGACAAGTATGGGAATACCGGAAGTTGTTCTAAGTAAAAATAATCATAATACTAGTCAGAAGAGTAAGCGGTGAATATGTAAATTAATTAAACAAAATGAAAAATGATATAGGTTCTGTGGGGAGGTGATTCTTCAGAAACTTCATGCATTTATTCCCCTTGATGAACTGTTGATCTTGCTTTATTCGAATAATACAGGGTCAGAGTAAGAACACAAACTACAGTAATTTAAAATATAGACGGATTAAGACGGTGAAAGAAGTAGTGGATGAGTAAAATTCTTTTCATACGGGAATCTAGCCTCTTTTGTCAGAATCCACATTGTTATCTCAAAAAATCACACATAGACAATTGTAGATGGTTATCATAGAATTATGATATTTTTGAACCTAACCCTGAAATAGTTTTGAAACATGTGGTCAAGGAATAAAGCAGATTATTAAAAGGGGATTTTTTTCATTTTTTCATTTTCTTTCCTTCAGGTTCTCCAGCGGAACATAGGGCTTTAAGCTACTGCCTTGGAGTTCTGTAGAAGTGTTTAGTTTTACAGGATGGGGTTGCTAGCCTCATGTCCAACCTTCCCTCTGTACCAGCATTATATCTGGCTTAGAGAGGTAAAGGAATGCGTTGGCCGGGGGTCGAACCCCGGACCATGTGCATGGTCGGCGAGCGTCCTAACCGCTATGCCACTGACGCAATAAAAAGGAATAGTATTCAAGAATTCTTGACTTTTAGTGAGTGTTTCTTTCATAAAGAAAATTGTTTTCAAAACTGACTAATATGCGCAAGTAAGTAATTAAACAGTACTGAATGAGTGCAGTTTATAGTCGGCTTCATGATGGCATGTTGATAACGTCTACCTGTTTATCTACTTGCCTGTTTCTGTTAACATTACCTAGCTCACAGTTGACAAAGTATTCTATAAATTAGAACAAATTTCTTTTAGTAATTCATTCTACATGCATTGCCTTTTGCAGTTCTGTTACACCTGAAGAATTACAGCATCCAGCTGCTTGTCTAGCATTTATTGTTATGGATCACGATTTGATAATGTCAAATGATTTTGAAGGGTGTGTATTTGTTCGGCCATCAGTAACTGTGAAATCACAAGCTGAAAAAGAAGCAAGTCCAGAGAATTCAAAACTTGTCTTCTCAACTACGCGATCGCAAAATCCATCTCCTAGTGAATATAAACAACAGCAGATATGTTTACCGTTAATACATCCAATTAGTAAAAGTGAGTGAATAGTTTTTTTTATTATATTCAGTTTAACTTTAGAAGTTTCTGGCTACGCTGCAATTCACTTAATGCACAGGAAACATAAAAATCAGTAGCTAAGCAAAGTAATAAGCCTTTGGATGAGATTACTTTTAGTATTTGAGAAGTTTACATAAATATTGTGTAAACTCATTTCATTACTCTACCTTACGAAGAACATCGACAACATTTTAATCATAATGTAAAAAGTAAGATCTATGTACTTTAGTAAAACATATATACAGCATAAAACAAACATAGAAAGAAGATATATGGTTCCATTTACTTCAAAGTATATGATGATTTGTCGGTAAACTTTAAAATATCCAGTTTACATTTTTGACAACACGAAACCTTTTCAAGTATTGGTTTGTAAAGATTCGATTACTAAGTTACAGGATTTCATCATGAGCTGACATTGGTTAGGAAACCACTGGAAAACCTGAAAGTACTGTACAGCTGTTTCGTCCCAGTTTGAAACTCTTCATCAGTACGCACCCGCCGCCAGGGTTCGAACCCTGGTTACCAGGCGAGCTAGCTAGGAGACCATTAAGCCACTGGCCCATGAATTCCAACTTCCACCAATCCACGACATAGCACAACAGCTAACCAGTGTCTTAGGCGAGTATTTCTTCTCATTTTAAACGGCAGATGGTGGAATACCGCTTCTCTGTGAGATTTTATGCAATGCAACATTCAACAACTGATGTGGGAGAAAAGCTGTGTATACCTTTCACCAACTGATTCGTGTATCTAGCAATTGATTTCATTACTGAGTTTGTATGAGTGGATTTTAATTTTACAGTGGATCGTGGAAAAATATTTTAGCATTTAATTGAATATGAGATTTTTCCGTTGATTGATTGGACCGAAGTGCTCGGTCTCAGGTTGACATGTCGGCTTCTTGTGCAGATGCTTCGACGATGTCTGAGTATTTAGTTAGTATAAATTGGTGGATGGTGGGTAGCAGTGGAATCCAGAATGCGCATTTCGTCCTACTTGGGGCTCGTAATCTGGATGTACCTGCATTTCTTAGTGAGTGGTGATGTTCCCACCGAGGCTCAAACCCAGTGCCCATAGTTTCAAACGCCAAAGCGTTATCCACTAGATCGACCACTTCGATCCAATCAGTCGACGGGAAAATCTCAATTGATATAAGAATAAAACTTGTGCACTGTGGTAGATTGTAATTCCACTATGAGTAAATTTCGTTTTGATAAAGTCTCACACTGTTATACAGCAATGTTCACCGATGACGTTTCGAGCACAATTTATTGCTCATAATCATATCACCTTGATATAAGGGGAAAATTTCAAATTAAATTAATATGACCCATTGCACAAGAGGTGGCTCTCGTGACCAAAGTGGTCTAGTGGATAGCGCTTCGGTGTTTAAAACTATGGGCACTGGGTTCGAGCCTCGATGGGAACATCACCACTCACTAAGAAATGCAGGTACATCCAGATTACGAGCCCCAAGTAGGACGAAATGCGCATCCTGGATTCCACTGCTACCCACCATCCACAATTGTATACTAACTAAATACCCAGACATCGTCGAAGCATCTGCACAAGAAGCCGACATGTCAACCTGAGACCGAGCACTTCGGTCCAATCAATCGACGGGAAAATCAAAAATTCAATTCAATAATTAATATATGACCCGTTGCACAAGAGGTGGCTCTCGTGGCCCAAGTGGTCTAGTGAATAACTCTTTGGCGTTTGAAACTATGGGTACTGGGTTCGAGCCTCGATGGGAACATCATCACACACTGAGAAATACAGGTACATCCAGCTGATGAGTCCAAATAGGACGAAATGAGCATCCTGGATTCCACTGCTAGTCACCATCTATGAATTAAATATTTTAGCATTGTTATCTTGTAAAACATCAGTAATACTGGTAGTGTCTAACAGGTAATTTAATATATATATATATATATATATATATATGTCATCTGTGATTTAGGAAGAGTATTTTTCACCCACCACTGGTTATTTTCAAAACTAACACCAGTGGGATCAAGACGACTATTTCATAACATATAGAACACCCCAAGCAGATTTATCTTAGTGTGATAAAGTGCATCTCATCAACGGAAGACAGAATCTAGTCCTTGTCAAGCATCGCCCATATTAGCCGATGTCATAATGTAGGGTTATTTGCGGTTCATATTTTGCGGAGTGATTTCTTTCGACCATATTCGACGCAAATAAGATCGAAGACTTGTTGTAGAACGATAAAGGTACTTTTGCAGCTGTCCATTCAAGAGAAGGATAAATAGAAAAAAATTATCATGGTTCTATTGGTAGAGAAAAAGGTTACTCACTAAGCACTATAAAGCAAAATTCCATATTCAGAGGACCTGTATCCCCACGAAGTCATTGACTAAATACTTAGAGGATTCAGACACCTTTAAGCAACTTAATTACACGTGATATTCAACTATTCAATTTTGTACTTCTTTAGAGAATGGTGCACTGGATGTTTTGGGTCAACGTTCGGATACCTATGCCCAAGAAATTTACAAACGTTGGAAAACTATAGAAGACAGTGAATTAAACCAATAATAAATAAGAAAATATTAAATCAGTAGAGCAAAACTTTGAGCATATAACAACGTCTATTTTGTTTTTAATAAAATGACTTGAAATTTTACACTTTAAATTTACTATACAGTTACATTCTCATACTTATATTATGATAAACAAATAAGATATTCATTCATGTAACGAGCTTATAACAATACAACGAAACAAATTAACAGTTTGTTCAATGTTTTCATATTCAGATACATCATATATATGAAGTCATTTATTTCTAATAAAAGTCTTCTTAACTAATAAGCCATATGATCATAATGGAACTCCATAAAAGTTATGGATAAGTTCAACTACTATTGAAGTGAAGTGTCAGCGTAAAACTTAGCACGAAAGCACAGCTGTTCAATTTTGCCCCCTCCCCGTCCATAGAAGCATATAAAAAGATAAGGAAAAGAAATACAACGAGGCTACACTAAATTGAATTTTTTCAGGAAAAAGAGTAATGTGAATTCGATGAATCTGGAAGGTCACAAGGAGTGAATATATCGGTGTCATTGAAACTGATTTCGTATCATGCCCCTAATACTCTCAAACCGTTGATTTTCAGTGTCTTAACAACTTTAACTAGGGAGTCTGCACTCCACTACTTGGCTCAAAACAATAGTCAGACACCTCATAATAGAAGCCATCTTTCGATTTGACCTATCCTTGACTCTTTTTGAATCCAACCCTTTATCGGCTAACATTTTTTGTAGAGGAAGGTGATAACTTGGCATTCGTCACACCTCTAGATGTATTAATGGATACAAATAGACAACCTCTTCCATTGAATTTCGTTCTTCACCGAACACTCTACGTTCACTGTGTACCGCGTAACATGAGAGACTCAACGTAGATATCTGTCCACTGTCTGCTAGTCTTTCACTGGCAATGTCTCAAAACTGTGAAACAGAATGGAACAAAGTAGTATACAGTTAACATGTATCATGTGTGATAGACAGATGTGAAGTTGGCGAATACCAAATGAATCTTTTGTATCCATGCTGAGGTTTTATCATCAGCAGATCTATTAGGGCTGATGCAACTTCTGAAAGAAGTGAATGGGTCAACACATTAAGCTGTTCCACTCCCCATCTCTAAACAGACAGTAGCTGCATATCAGATTCACAATATCATTTTACGTTTAATGGGGGCACATTTCATGTCAGGCATGTTCAGATTTCTGCCCAGGGTGTTCAGAATACTGGATTTTGTCGAAGTTTTCACCTTAAAAATCTCCTGCGTAATCTATACAAACGAAACTTTTCCACAGGAAAACACTGAGATACTGTTTTCGACGAAAGTGACGTCCGATAGCACAGCTATAATTAGATTAAACTTAAACGGTAGCACTTACATCCCTGATGAATATCATTGGCTTTCATCGCTCAACAATTCTCCATAAGCTCTTACACGGTTGAATGAGTTCGAGCGGAATAATTGGTTAGAGCAGTATGCTCCTTCGGTAATCCTTCCTTAGGTAGACAGAGCCACAGAACCCTTCAACTGATGGAGTCATATGCTGACTTCAGATCAAAACATATTTGGAAAATGAGAGACTCCCGTAATTATACACATTCCGAAGATTTTTCCGAAAAGTGAAGCTATAATCAATACTGATAATAAAAAATCACTGTCATTATAGATTTTACATCATGTGTTATTCGATGAACAACCTCTTGTGAGGAGAGATAACAGTCACATAGGTTAAATTGATACTGTAATAGGAGAAGGCAAGACACGGAAGTTAAGGTGTATTTTCAAAGTGATATATATAATGTCCAAATACACATATAGTATTCTGTTGTTAATGCTGTAGTGAACTGCGGGGATATTTGAGAATACTATCCCGTTCTGTAACACACCACCACAATACTTCATCTTTAGAAATCTCAGTCTATATTACCTTTTTAAACTTCACCGTACAGACCACTAAACTAGTTAACAAAACGAAGTAAAATCAGTGAAATCGTATACAGGAACATCAATAAGTAACAGATAGTACATTCAGCCTTCTGAAAGGTTTTTAAGCATCTCAAACCCTGGGTTGCGCATCCATCAATTTGCTGACAGTTACCAATAAGCATTAAACCTAGTTAATAACACCAAATACAATTGTGCTTCTCGCCTGGTTGGTTTTACAACATATTTTTACACTGGCTTAATGACTAGATAGATCATTTGTTATTTCCTTTAATTCCAAGAGGAACATAGCTTCAGCCGTGTGTTTCTATTGCGTTCAGTTCTCTGCTAGAGTTTTCACCTGGTTCCAAGTCTGTCCACATGCTTTAATCTCCTCTCGCATGACCTCCTCCAAGTCACCCTGACGATGAAGACCAATTCGCCGCTTTCCTTTCGGGTTCTACTCGAGGGCTTGTCTAGTGATGTCATTCACTTGACAGTTTCCTCAGAGTATGGCCAATCCACCTGCATTTCCTCCTGCCTATTTGTTGCACAATCTGTTCCTCTTGTGTTGGTTGGTTCTCAGAGATCCCACCCTGTTGCTGATCTTTTCTGGTCATCTGATCTTGAGTATTGAGCGAAGACAACTGTTGATGAAGGTCTGAAGTTTTTTTGAGATACTCTTATGACGCTCCAAGTCTCTGATCCGTATGATAAGTAGCACTGACTTCACATTGGAGTTGAAAATCCGTGTCTTATTTTCATTTTATGCTGAGCGCTGTTGACCTCCACACAGACTTATGACTAATGAAAGCTTGTCTTGCTTTGATATCCTTGTCAGTTCCGCCTGTAGTTGAAACGGTGCTTTCCAGGAAGGTAAAGGAGGTTGTTTCTTTCAGTTACTCTCATTTATGCTGATTGTTGTCTGTGGTTGTTGCTGCTGCTGTTGGCCAGGAATCTTCGCCACCTCTGTTTTCTTTATGTTCACCTGAAGTTCCCAGTATTAGTCATTATAAAGCCATTAGCTGAATTTTCAGGTTTGTAGTATTTTCTTGATGACATAATCCACTTAATGGAAAGCCATACACTGTGAGTAAGTATCGCATAAATCATAAGAAGTGTAGGCGAATAAAGTTTCAAAAGATTACACATAAATGAGATTTACATACATACTAAAGTTAATCTAACCACTGTTTAGTTGGATATCTGATAAACAGAAACCTGTAACCAAAGGTCCTGGGTTCGAAACCCAGTGGATGCGAACTGCCGATGAGTCCAAAACTATAATGAAACAGCTGTCCAGTATTCTCTGGTTTTCTGACTGATATCAATCAGTGGTCAAACACAACAAATCAACTCTTTTAAACAGAAACTGTTTAAGCATTCGGTTGTTTTTTTTTGCGAATTCACATGACTACCAAACGCGGATTCTTACTATACTACTTTGAAACATATTGGTCTAAATGACTTTGTGAAACCGATAAATACATGATCAAAAAGCCAGCGCTACGGTTAACACAGTTACAAGCATTTTAAAAACGGAAGCATTAACTGTGTTAAACTGAGCGAATATATAAGACATTATGTAAATTGTACTACATAAACTTCGCACAAAAGTACATTCTAATGGCTTATAATAGTCATACTTTCTCATCACTCATCTCTGCATATCAATCTAACTATATTTCAAGGTTAATGTAAATCACGAATATTTCACTCAATTAGCAGAATTTCAATGTTGGACTGTTAGTTCTAATCATCTGTTGACTTTGGTTCTGCAAATTTTGTGATTGGTGATTTTTTTTTCGGTCATAATATATCAGGATTGACTTAGCTCAGTGTACCGAATCTATTCACATACCACCTGAATTCTCATTAGGGATTTGGCCTTTTTAGTGTTACATAGAATCTAATTTGCCGTTTGCAAATTATACAGTCAGTCCAGATATAACTCTGATGAGCTCGGTCCTGAACGACTGGGACCACCTCCATGTCTTCAGATCACTTCAGGATGACATGAATGTTGTTTCAGACTACTCATATCAACCAGTAGTATGTATTACCATGCTATTTCACTACTTTCTTGATTACCGTTTATGGTATCAACAGGACTAGATTTTGTTACCTGAAAATTCCCGAATTACAAAGGAAGCCGTAACGAATTCTCACCTAAAATTGTGTAATCTACCAAAGCCGAATTGAATATAAACTGTCGGCCTCACAGACTTGCATCACTGGAAATATTCTCCAATGAATGGTTTGAATTCGGGAAAAGTTGGGATTTAAATGCTGAATGCGATTTGACGAAGGCCTATAAAAATTCCAAAAAGGTCATGAAACCAGTGTTGACATTATCAAAAGTACTCAAATGAAGAATATGCGACTTGACCACTGCCATGAGGCTTCAAGTATGGGTTGGTGTCTGAAATTCATTAAACAATAGTGACTAACAGGCGTACAGCCCTAAGCAGGAGTGTATTCTTAAAAAGTGCCGCACACTGAAGCAGTACAACATATATGAAGTGATATTGCAATAGGTAATGATCAGTTTACAGAAAATCTCTAAATGAAGATTGGTGAATACGTTCAAGATTACCAAGAAGAAAATAAGTGGACATTTTCCAGTCACGACAATTTATCAAGCTTGATTTTTAGTACTCTGAGGAACTTAGTCAGTTAGACTGCATCTACTTCAGGTTGACAATCAGTCGGTTAATAGACTGGATTTATGCTTTCGTCAAACTGTTCTCTTCCTTACTAAGTGTATTGTCAGCCCTTTGGAAAGATATTGAAACTGTACCTATACTAAAGTCATCCACTGGAACATACGTCAAGTTTAAACCTATTGCTATAGCCTGCCCTTTTCTGAAAACTATGCCAAAGTTGCTTCCACTTATTCTTGAACCTTCACTTAAAGCCTTTAACGATTCCAAACAATTTGTCTTCAAAAGTAGTATAAGATGAAACTGCTGTTTTGCATCATAATATCGTTTCTAGTTTAGACAAAGGGGCTAAATTTATTCGCAGCGGCTTCCTAGAGTATACATCTTTTGACTCAGTATCTAGGGATATTTTGTTAAATAGGCTTGCTGTAACTTAAACTGAGTGCTGAATTGTTGAGTGGCTGCATTCTTGTTTCTCAGGAAGAAAACAGTACACTGTATGTAAGGGGAAGTTGTCCACTTCATTGCTTACTGAAGCTAAAGTCCCTCAGGGCGCTGTCCTTTCTCCTTTTCTGTTTTCTTTCTTCTTGCATGACTTGTCTCAATTTGGTGAAATGAACTTTGTTAAGTATGCGGACGATCTAAACGTTTTCAATGCCTGTCATAAGTAGTGTTCGAGACTTTATTTCACCTCATTTTTATTCGACTAAATTGGTCAATCTGATTTGATACGGTCAACTTGCTACTTCTTTGATTTTCATTTCGATATTTCTAAGATATAGGATGCATTCATCTCGAACCGAGAGCTGTGATTTCCGAGTGTAAAAATACAATGCTTGTGAACCACAGACACCTGGAAAAGGTACATTTAAGTACCCTTCCACTCACACTCTTGTGTGACATTTATTTTCCTTGTCTGGAAAATACAAGTATCATCGTAAACCTGGTGGTCTTCTGATTTCCCTCTTTCCGCGTCAGGACTATTAACTACTCGACGAGTATATAACATAAAAACAACAAATTACGAATATTATATATATTTTAAATTATCATACAAAAGCATAGATCTACTTTCATTTTTCTTAGAAAAAAAAACACTGATCAAAAATAATTATTCTAAGTAAGGAGTTTAAGGAGAACACAACCAAATCACTTCTCTCAAATGAGAAAATTTCTTATAAATATATGCGCAATATCATTAATAAAAAAGACTAGGTCAGCAGTATAAATTTATATCCGACAGGAATAAAAAGTAAAGGTTGAAAGAGAAAAGAAAAGAGATATAAGTAGAAAAAAGGCATTATATAAAGTTAAAATATTGACTTAGGCAACAAATATTAATATTGCAAAATAAAACGACAGTATAAATAATAAGAATAACAATAGTGTTATATACGGCTATGTCCATTTTCAGAATGCCATTTAAAATAACTATCTCTCTCTCTCACACACACACACACACACACACTGAATGTGTCATATAGAGCTCACTTACCTACCCGGAACAGATGTTTTGGTGTGCCAGGCTATGAGCCAGACATTGTGTGTGTACGTTGCCACGACCGAATTCACTGAAGTGAGATTCGAACCCGGGGCCCATTGAATGAAAGCTATGTGTTTAATTAAGCCAGTGCGCCGCATTTCCACGTAGGTGTTTGATAAGATTGAAGTCAATAATGTTTAAGATAATGACGACGATAACAATAACGATAAGGAGGACTAGAACATTTGTGGAGCAAAGAATAACATAATTCATTATAATAAAAGGTTAAAAAGTCTTAGAAAAAAAGACAGTTGATTAACCTGAAGTGTGTTGAGGGTATCACATAATTATCTCATAAATATAAATGATACATTTCATTAAAAAAAAAAGTCATAACTATTTTATGATAATACTTGACACATGTACTACAAACATCACCATAATCACCCCTTGTGTATAGGAATGCGCTTGAAGTGTAACACTCACAATAAGTAGTTAACAATGGTAAATAACAAAAGAAGAGAAGGGATATAAGAAATGAGGATATTATTTAGGGAACATACATACACCTTCACCAATAACCAACGATTACATAATCTCCAACATTACTCTCCCCTATGTGACTATTTATGTGAAGCTGTTTCAAATTTGAATATAACACTGTACAACTCGCCACCGAGTCTTCTGGCTAGCCATGAATTTTTAATCACTGCTATCTTCAGCGTATCGACAAGGAATTTCGCATTCAGATTACAATGAATTGCTCGTCCCATACCTTCGATCACAATTAGGTCAACCTTGAAAAGAATGCATTAAAACAAATAGTCCATTCATTAACAATATATATATATACAAGCTGTCAGTGGATTCTTTTAAAATCAAACACACTACTGTAAACAACTGATCACATAATACCACTGTGTATTCTTTAAGAAAATATTGTAAGTCTATGAGAATAAAACTATGATCTAAACAAAATCAATCCATAAAGTACCATTAGATTCATGTATTAGACGATTATTATATCATTAGTATTAATCTCTTGGTTCCAAGTGGAACATAATAGCTGCAACAACTAATCTCCCCTTTCCTCTATTTTCTGCTCTCCTCTTCATTTGGCCCACGACTGCCCATAATCTCTCATCTCCTCCTCACACGATCTTCTCTCCATGTCACCCTAGGACGACCCACTCATCGCTACACATTTGGATTCCACTTGAGGGCCTAGTGGGCGATGTCATTCGACGGTCTCCTCAGTGGGGTATTCCCGATCCATCTCCATTTTCTCCTACAAATTTGTTGAGTGATCGGCTCGTGGTTTTTTTTTTTCGCAGCCAGAGTTTCTTGTTACACTAATTCTTTCTAACCGGCCATCTGACCTTCAGTACAGAGTCAGCGAAGGGCAGCTGTTGATAAAAGTCTGTTATCTAGTTGGAAATGCTTTTCGTGACACTCAGTGCAAGTCGCTGACCCGTATAGAAGACTTTCCATAGACTTCACATATGTGCTGAAAATCCGAATCTTCTTGTTGTTTATGCTGGCTGAGTGGCATAAGATTTCTAAACCTATTTCATATTGATGAAGGCGTGTGTATCTTGCCTTTCTGATTCCGGCTGGCTGATTTTGATATCTTCATCCATTCCGAATTCCTGTAGTTGAAACAATGCCCCCTAGATAAGTGAAGGAAGTAACCTCTATCAGATCTCTCCTGTTGAAGGTGTTCGGTGCTGGTTGCTATCGCTGCTGGTTGGTTGTCTTCTTCATCACCTCCGTCTTCTTTATGTTCACTTGGAGTCTTCGCTGCCAGCCTCTTCAGCCAGTTTGTTGGTTTTCGCCTGTAGATTTTCGAGGTTGTATAACATTAAACGTAAATCATCTGCCAATTGCAGATCTTCTAGAGTCTTCTCATGGGTGGTCCAGCATATTCCTGCCTTCTGGCTCCCAAGCACAGTCTGGCGCATAATCCAGTCCACACACAATTAAGATTGACAATATCACTGGTGATAACAGCAGTCACCTTGTCTTACTCCTGTATTCACTTCGAACGCCTCGCTGAATTTTCGGTTGTGGACAACCCAATATATATGCACTGTCACATATAACCAGCTGGTGAATGAGGTTGAAAAAGACTTGGGGCCTGCCGTGATTTTGAAGCAGTTTCCAAATTACCTCCCGACCAATGCTGTCTGTCGAAAGCCTTTTCAAAGTCAATGAAGTTGGGGCACAGATTGGACTGTCATCCTATGCTTTGTTCGATAATGATGTGTAAAGTTGCACTTTGATTAGCATATGATTTGCATTTCCTGAATCCTGCTGGTTCAAGGCAGGTGGAGTTCTGCATTTAGTGCATCTTTTATTCTCTCCAGGCTGACGCGACTTATTATTTTACTTGGTGTGGACTAGAGGATTGTTCCACGGCAGTTCTTGCAGAGTGACGCGTAAGTCGCTTGACCACATTCAGGACTTCTGCTTTCGTTGGAGGATTGGTGTCCATTGGCAGTTTCGTGAGTGCTGTTGGTGGTATTTCTGGGAGAGTTGCAGGTGATGCTCAATTCGAGAGTCCTTTAAAGTGATCAGCCCATTGTTTTATTTGTTTCTCCTTCATGGTAATCAGATTTCCTTTAACATCTTCTACTGGTTTCATCATCTGGATTCATCTCTCTCCGATAGAAACCTGGTTATCTGATATAATGTCGTGAGATCTCTTTTACCTGCAGCCTGCCTGCCTGTTTTGCTTCAGTTCCCAGTGTGTCGTAGAATTGTCTTTTGTCTCTTCCCAGCAGTCTTCTTCACTTCTTTATTCAGCGCGATGTACATTAAAATCAGTTTCTCCTTCTGTTATCCATTTTTGCATTGAGTTATCTTCTATTTCGACATTTTCCTCTCTACTTTCCTATTAGCTTCCGGGTATCCGTGAACAGCCATCCCTTGTCCTGCCTCTTCTTTCTTCATAAAGTGGTTGTACACGCTTCCTTGAACATCACCTTCATAGAAATTCAATGTTCTCCCACGCAAGTTACCTCAGTGACTAAAATATGCATACATTGATGTTATCATCTGATAGGAAAAATGGAGGTGTATGAATTGATAAGAGTTTGTAAAACTAAATCACAACTTCATGACTCAAATGTAAAACCCACAGGGAGTTTCTTTCAGTACCATTTCTTTCACTTGACCAAACAACAACTGATTTTAAAAAATACCTTAAGACAGAAGAGCCATATCCTGCGAAGCAAATTATCCGCTACCCTCTCAACACAAAACTTAAGAATATACCAAAGTAGTAAATTCTCATTAGAAATTATTAAATAGCATTCAGTGTAGCATTCATCAGCAAGACGTCTCAATAGTTTAACTCTTCAATAATTTTTGTTTTATTAAATGTTATTTGAGGGATATCGTTTCACTTTTCTCTCTACGCGTCAGTGGCACAGCGGTTAGGACTCTCGCCGACCATGCACATGGTGCTGAGTTCGAGCCCCCGCCGACGCACACCTGATATCAATGGTCGGCCTGCAAAGTTTGGGCTACCTACATCACATGCTGAAAATTCCATACCTGTACCAAAAATACGGTGTGGAATCAAGCTGTAATCAAATTAAAATTCTAAAAAAAATAATCACCAACGACATAAAGAGCATACATTATAGTTGATGTTACTTTCTATTACCCTGTTTTCGGCAACGACCACTAATTACAAAATGGTAATGTACATTGATTAAGTAACCGACTTTACAAAAATATTCTTTCAGCAATAAGATTACACCTGATCTTATTTATTATCTACCTTTCGACCTGATTCACTACTGTTTCACTCAGCAATTGAAATATTCTTTTTTAATAATTAAAATCTAAGTAAAGGTATTACTAATTAGACGTAGAATGGAAACTTATTATTGTTATTTATAACTCGCATCTTTTTATATAAACAGAATTAGAGACGTACTAACTACAGACAAAAAATGTAGCGCATTGAATCTTTTCTTTTTTTTCATACGGAATGCACAGTATTCAAAGCATAGAAAAACAACTTGATGATATTTCTATTTGAAAATAGACATAGAAGATAATATTCAAGTGTTGGTTTTTAATGGTAATAACCAAAATAAAAAAAATGCTAAAGTAATTTTCAGTATTGAAAAAAAAAAGAAAAGAAAATGTACCTGCTCGCGTTCTGTCAACTGAACTAGTGAGCTGGCAATGAGACGGAAATCAAGACAAGGCGAAGTTTGACCATTTTCAGCTAACATAAGTTTACCATTGGCAAGGGAATCAGCAATCAACGGGTCGAAACCTGCTATCATGTGTAGAAGTAATTCTAATTCTTGATAAGTTATATCATTAATAGCAGGACCTGAAAACAACAACAACAACAACAAAACCAGAAAAAGAAGAAAATTACGCACTGCTTAAAAATTTAAATAATGTGAATTTAATTCCATTGCATCTCATATTTTTTTATTCCTTTACGTTCCCAGTGGGCTTCACGATACAGGATGGAGTTGCTAGCCTCATGTCCAACCTAACCTCTCTACCAGCTTTATTACCGGCTCGGCGAGGTAAAGGAGTACACCGGTGGCCGGGGGTCGAACCCCGGACCATGCGCATGGTCGGCGAGTGTCCTAACCACTATGCCACCTTTGTACATCACATTTTTCAGATAAACTCTGAAATAAACAACGACTGTAAATTTTGAAGATGACTAGAAATATACAACGAACTATGGGTTAGTATAGTGTGTTATTTGTTTCATATTAGCTGAAAAATAAATTCAGAATCTGTGTATCGTCATCTTTTGCAACTCATTACTTTAATATCTCTGCAGGCAGGTATGAACAAGTGAGTTTCTTGAGTCAATTGATTTGTGATCCTATGACGAATAATTTCGTACAACTCAGCAAGATGGCTAATGACAGACAAGTTATGTTGATGACGCCCTGTTATGACCCAATCCTATGACTTACTCCCATTATATAGTCAGAATCACGACTTATGTAGTTATCTGCAACATATAGTATAGCGAGTTAAGTATCTTTTTATGCTAAACCAATCACTTCAGTATCACATTTACGCGAATGGAAATCAGTTCTTCACCTCAAAAAGGACAATTCATCAACTAGCAGTTAAATTCAGTCGGCAAATTATACGAAACTTTGCCCTGATAACCAGCTATGCTTCATCTACAGATTGTTGAATCATCCTCTACATTAAGTAATGAAGTCGAGATCAAAGCGCAGGCTACAACTATCGTCAATGAAGTACACTTTTTTCAGTTCAGTATCAGGGAGAGAGAAACTAAGAGTATAAGCAAACTTGACAATGCCCAAGCTATTTTCGTATGCATTTTTCAATGAATAGTGTTTGGGGTAAACATTAAACTATAGCGGAAAATCTCCTATCTAATATCTAGTATCTCGAATAAGAAAATGAGACCTCATGAAAATAAAACGACAGCCACAGTAAATAACCTGCAAATGAATTATCAACCACTGCACTGAAAATTCGAGGTAATACTTCTTACTATGACAATTAAATTTACGTCAAGTCTTATCCGATCACATTAAACAGAAATGTAGTAGGTTCAAAAAACAATTGTGAAATCCTCATCACTCAGAGTATGCATAACAGGGACATAAAAACGAATACTATAAGTAAAAAAGAACTGGTTTCTACATTCAACAGTTCAAATTACTTGAATTAGCCGCCAATATCACTTTACATCCACGACTAAGAAACTCCATACAGAACGGTATTACACCAAGTATAATATCTGCACCACTGTTATCACAGAATATTAATATACAACGATACGGGGATCCAGGTACACTGATTCGATTAATCCATTTATCATAATCGTCGACTAACCAAGGTCGGCGCTGAAATCAGTACAATTTGCGTTGAAGTAAATTATTATTAATAACAAATAATTGAGTAGGACAGTTACAACAGAAAGTGTTAGCTATTAGTGTCTCAGTGTGTGTATGCTACTCACAAACCCACTTACACTTCTTTGCAATTACCAACGAGACATACTTGTTGTGTGCAAGCTATTGATACTAACTGAATACCTGAACCTCGGTAGGTGGAACAGCTTTCAATCTAGTTGGTTTTTTAAGTCAACTGTCTAGACGTATATGACCTAGCCTGATGGACACAGAAGTGTAATACTGGCATTTAACATTCATTTAGTGCTCATTTGGCAAAAGAAAGCCGAAATTTTAATCAATACACTTTATGTCACATCTAAAAACTGGTTTTGATTAACAGGCATAAACTGAGAATACAAAAACAACGGTCTGGTTATACAGTAAGCACACTAGAACGCCTTTTTTTAATTTTGACTATTTTCAACTTATTACAGATTGTCATATGACTGGTAGAAAATCACTGATTAAAAAGGTGTGGTCAACTGCTGTACAAAAAATTGGAACTACCGAGTCTGCTCGCTGAGTTGTTTTATTTTTCGCTATTGTTTTCTTCGCACTCACAGTTAGGCATGTTACGCATGCCGAGCCACCACCTTCCTTGACGGGAAATGTTAGCTGACTGACATAGAATCAGTTTGTAGAAGAGCGCGTGGTGGTGGTCAAACCAAAACATGGCTTCATCAGTCAATGAAATCCCCAACAGTTAGTTTAAGGCAGCCAGCCACGTAGGGAGGTATAGACTTCCTGATTGGCGGGTTGTAGTCCACGGGATGGTAAGAACCAATGAAGGCTGGAGACAATTGGTGATATGCCTCAAAATCCTCGTTTTCAATGGCTGGCGCAGATGTATTCACTCCTTGTGATTTATAGATTCCAATAAACCTATACGGTTCTTCGATATTACCATTCTGCTTGTCTCATATTTCTGTTTATCATCTCTCTCTTCACTCTTTTCACTTTCTTAGTGTGCTACACGGAGAGAGTGTGACAACCTGAACTGCTGCACATCTGTGCAAAGTTCTACTAACACCAATTATACGGTATAAATAATTGTGCAAGCATGAATTTACTAACATGTGTTTTTTATTTGCAAGAATTTGGTTATTATGTTGAATACACTTAATTAAATTAATCCTCAAAGTTTAACTGGCACTTCCACTTAACCTACTAATTTTATCATTGTAAATTAGCCGGATTGAAAAAAAATGTATAATTTATGTTTTTCTGTTCTAAAAATAATATATCAATGCGAACTAGAGTGCAACCGAATGTACTATTTTATAAACGCAAAATCACTTATTTCAATATTGCTTTTTGGTTAAATTATTGTACTTTAAATCCCAACCCCCCCCCCACCCCCATTAATTGATATTATAGGATCGAAATACACGACCATCTCTGTTGATATGTCGACCTCCTCGTAGGGACTTTTAGACGATGAGTTTAAATTTGAGAATGATGTTATTTGCTTGATGGTGGGTAGGTAGTGGAATCTATATGGCGCGGGCTTCACCCTTTTCGAGACTCGTCATTTGGATGTATCAAAAGAGAACGAGACGTGAGTGCGTACTGAATACCATTGTTGCTGAGTACCAATTAAATAATTTTATGTAACATTTAGTTTAATTTTTTTTTGATTTTAATTATAGCTTGATTCCACACCGTATTTTCGGTACAGGTATGGAATTTTCAGCATGTGATGTAGGTAGCCCAAATTTTGTAGGCCGGCCATAGATATCAGGTGAGGGCTTACGGTGAGTTGTCATCTAAAGTGGTGACAACTAGTGGTGTCCGTCAAGGATGCCCATTATCTCCTTTTCTATTCAACTTCATCATAGATGTGTTAATGGACTTAACCCTAAGTGACTTCAGCGACTCAGGGATTGACTTGCTACCGGGGAATAATCTCGTTGACTTGGAATATGCAAACGATATAGTCCTTCTAGGCGAAGACGCTGACGAAATGGAGAGTCTTCTAAACACCTTGAGCCGCAATCTACGAATGTTTGGCATGCGATTCGCTCCCGCCAAACGCAAGATAATGTTACAGGACTGGACTACATCGACGTCTAGTTTAAAAATAGGAAGTGAAGTGGTTGGTGGAGCACGTTGACCGCTTCACTTATTTGGGAAGTACCATCAGCCAGTGCCAACGGGTTGATCTCTGACGAAATCTCAGCACGAATACAAGGGGCTCGTTTCGCATTTGTTAGTTTACGCCGACTCTGGCGTAGACGAGATGTTCGACTATCGACCAAAGGGCGGGTGTACTGCTCATCAGTCCGCTCCGTCCTCCTTTATGGTTGTGAGACCTGGCCACTGAGAGTGGAAGACATGAAAAGACTAGCTGTCTTTGATCATAGGTGCCTGCGCTGTATTTCCCGTGTAAAGTGGCATCATAAGGTGAGCAACATGAGGTTAGGCGTAGAGTTCTAGGTAAACAGGGGAAATCAATCGACGAAGTCGTGAAGCTACATCGACTGAGATGGTTAGGACATGTGTTACGTATGCCAAGCTATCGCCTCCCTCGACGAGCAATGTTAGCGGATATAGGGTCAGGCTGGAAAAAGCTAGCGGCGGTCAAACAAAAACTTGGCACCAGTCAATGAAATCCACAACAGTTGGTCTAAGCCACGTAGGAAGGTGTAGACTTCATAGTTGGTTGGGGTCCTCGGGATGGTAAAAATCTATGGTTGGAAACAATTGGTGACATGGCTCAAAATCGTTCTCAGTGGCGCAGATGCATCCACTCCTTGACTTATGATCTCCAATGAAACTGTTTTGTTTTTCTTTATTACTCCTTTGTCTCACACCTCTGCTCACTGTTTCTATTATGCTTTTCTTGTACTTTCTTCTCTTGCTTCGCGTGCTACACGGAGTGTGGCGACTTGAACTTCCGCACATTTGTACAAAGTTCTATGTCGAAAACAGACAAACAGACAGACAGGTATGCGCCAACACGGGATCGAACCTCGGACCATGTGCATGGTCAGCGAGATTCCTAACTGCTGTGCCACCGACGCACCATTAAACAACTATGGATTACACATTATCAACACTTATTTCACTGTCGCTTCCATCAGTTATAATTTACTTATCATATGCTTAGTACTAAGACACACACACAAGTGTAATCCACTGAAAATACTACTAAAAGAGCGGCATATATCACTTTAAAAGAAGTACGATAGACTGAATAACAGTTTTTTTTTTAATTTACAGGCATGTTAAATAAGACTATCATTTAAATGGGTTGATATAAAAATCTCATTTGAACTTGTTGCAACACAATGATCAGTACGTTCAACCAATCCAATATATATATATATATATATATTCTATCTGTTTCTGTCTGTAAATCATTCTAACTTTCCCTTATTATTATTATTGTTCCCTTGGGTTCCTAGTTCAACATAGGGCTTCAACTGCACGCCTCCACTTGCTTCTGTCTTTTGCTATACTTTTCACCTGCATCCATGTTAGTCCATACTGTTTCAACTCCTCTTCACACGATCTCCGCCATGTCACCCTTGCACTGACGTCCCACTCGCCGCTTCCCCTTCGCCTGGTCCCACTCGAGCAATGGCCTGACGCGCGCGCGATGTCACCCAGCGGCCTCCTCAGCAAGTGTCCAGTCTATCTCCACTTTCTCCTGCATATCTGTTGGTTGGCGTTTGGTTCTTGTTTTGTTCCTTCCCATAGTTTCTTGTCGGTGATTCTGTCCGGCCCGGCCATCTGATCTTCAGTATAGAGCGAAAACAGTTGTTGATAAAGGTCTGCAACAGGCTGATGGAAATATTCTTTGTGACCCACCCGCCAAGTTTCTGATCCGTATAGAAGAGCTGACTGAATTGACGTTTGTATTGAAAATCCCAGCGAATTTTGTTGTTGATGCTGGCTGAGTGACGAAGATTTCCAGATTGGTTTCAGGTTGATGAATGTGTTTCTCGCCTTCCCGATTCTCGCTCGATTTGACATCCTCGTCCATTCCGACTGTCTGTAGTTGAGACAATGCTCCCTAGATCAGATCAAATCCCTCCTGTCGATGGTGATTGGCGCTGGATGTTGCTGTTGTTGTTGGTTGGTTATTTTTATAACCTCCGTATTGTCTATGTTCACATGGAGTCCTGTCTTCGCCAACTGCTTCTTCGACCAGTTTGTCGGTTTTCACTTGTAAGTCTTCGATTTTGTGTGTGTGACATCAAACATAAATCATCCGCGAAATCCAGGTCTTCTAGGTTCTTCACGTCGGTCCAGGATATTCCTGTCTTCTCGTTTCCCACTGTCTGACACATAATCCAGTCTGTCCACCACAAATATGAATATCATCGCGGGTGATAATAAGCACCCTTGTCTGACTCCTGTGCTTACTCCAAACGCCTCGCTGAGTTTTCCGTTGTGGATCACTTGACAGCTGTTGAATAAGGTTGGTGAATATTTGGGGTACGCCGTAGTAATCCAGTAGTTTCCAAATTACTTCACGGTCAACGCTGTCTGTAGAAGGCCTTCTCAAAGTCTATAAAGTTGAGGTAGAGGTTTGATCGCCATTCCATGCCTTGTTCTGAGATGATGATGCGTAGAGTTGCAATTCGGTCAGAACATGATTCGCCTTTTCTGAATGCAGCCAGCTTGTTCTGGTCGGAGTTCTGTATTCAGTGCGTCCTTTATTCTCTCCAGGATGATGCGACTCTGCATTTTACTTGGCGTCGGCAGGAGGATGATTCCTCGCCAGTTCTTGCAGAGTCCTAAGTCGCCCTTCTTTGGTAGTTTCAAAAGGTAACTTTCCCTCCAGTCAGGAGGCACCTTTTCCTCCTTCCAGACCTTTTGCAATAATGGAGTCAGCATGTTTGCTGTGGTCTCTGGGTCCACTTTTAGTGCTTCAGGGGGTATTCCATCTGGTCCAGCTGCTTTTCCAGCTTTCAGAAGCTTGACTGCATTCAAGACTTCAGCTTTCGTTGGAGGGTTGGTGATTTCCCCTAATAACTTTAAAATAGCATAACAAAGATGACTACCTAACCAAACGACTGACTCATGTTAATTGGCTGTCAAGTTGAAATTTGTGCCACCAAAGTACACTCTCCCAACAAACGTATTGCTTCAAATTACTCCTATTCTTATTCTATTCAATCAAGGATGTGCTTAAATTGCGCTCACACACATTTTAAAAAAAATAAAAACTTCAACCTATGGCTTTCCGTGTTCTCTGTGAATCTGAGAAAAAATGTCATAGCGTATTGCATGGCGGGTTAATGAAGCATACAAACATAATTCGAATGACTGTCCCTGAATAAGTTAGCATTAACTGAAGATTTAGTCATCATATCCTTTCAATTTATTTGTAAAGGAGGGTGGGGGTTGGGGGAGGGTAAGTTTGTTGCAATATGCAAATGATGACAAATCTCTATACAATCATTGTGTGACATAAATTCATTGTTATGATTTTAAAAGTGCACTAAAGCTAAGTCTCTTTGAGAATATACAGCTTAAACAAATGATTTCATGCTGTCCAATTAAATCAAATGTGGAGGTTGAGTGAAGAGATATAACTCAACTTACCTGAACTTTATCCAGAGTGATTTGAAAGTCAACAGCACCGAATTTATTCTGCGGTGCATCTTTGAGGAACTGGACAACTTCAACTGCACCCCAGTCGAACATATTACCAGCTAATAAACCTTGGACTAGAGACAACTGACGATTAAGCCAATCCAATTTGGCCAGTTTATTTAATCGATCCGTGAAGGCGGAAAGAGCTGCTCTGTTTTCACACTGTTGAAATTAACGAGAATAGTATTATCTAGTTTTAAAATTAAATTTACTGAAAACTAAACGAAAACATTTCGATTTAAGAAAGATAAAGTGTAAAGGGAATTCAGATAATTCAGCATAAAAAAGGGGTGCTCTTATGCACTGCGTATTGTTAATGCGACTCATAAATAATTTGTGGACTATTCAAAGGATCATGATGGTAACGAGTGGATAGTTGTACATTGGTACAATTTCACAAAAACGAAAAACTACTTATTGGAAGCTTTCATTTGTAAAATATTTTTAAATACTTTAATTTTTGATATAGTGATAATGAGCGCCAAGAAACCAAGGAATTCCATCCAGAGCTTTCCTCTTTTTATTAAGTTCGGACATCGGACGCTCTCAATTATTTCATAGTAGGAATCGATAAAAATTCTACAGAGATGCGTAAAGGTAGGTATTGGTAAACGATCTTATATTTGAGAAAACTCACAAACCTCAGTGTCTTATACAAATATACACATATACTGTATGAAGACTGATTTTATTTTCTATAGTTTGGTGTGTAAGGGTTAGTTATGTTTTTACTAGTTGATCACGGACTGATATCAGTTAGAGAACCATTGAAAACCTGGGGGTACTGGACAGCTGCTGTTTCATCCTAGTTTGGGATTCATCGACAGTACGGACCCATTGGGATTCGAACCCAGGACCTTCCGGTTACAAGGCAAGCTCGTATACCACTCAGCTACCACTCAGCCATTGATGTATGCTGTGTTTCAGAAACACGCATACAAGACCCAAGTGTGGTTATTCACCTAACCCCACCTGGCCAACAGGTTGAATCTGCAAAATTCACCCTGAGGGTGTCAGGAGATGCCACAGCTAGTTCACGAGGATTAGCTGGCGTAGGGATAGCTTTGAGTACTAGGGCAGAAAAGACATTGCTTGACTGGATCCCGGTAGATAGCCGAATGTGTGCTGTCCGCCTGAACGGATCAGTAAGAAGAAGGAAGGACTGCACTACTCGCCGATGCCTTTTCGTAATCTCCGCCTACGCCCCCACTGACTGCAGTTCAGATGAAACGAAGGATGAGTTCTACCAAAAGCTGTCTAGTTTGGTGGGAAAGGCTAAACGCTCAGACATAGTCGTTCTAGCTGGTGACTTTAACGCTCAAGTAGGGAAATTGTGTCAATCTGAGAAGGATGTCGGTGGCACCTATGGAGCTCCGTGCCAGCGAACCGACAACGGTGACCGTCTCCTACAGTTCTGCTCTGATAATCATTTGTTTCTTGTAAGCACTAACTTCAAACACAAGGAGAGACACTGTTTGACTTGGAGACCCCCTTCATCAAACCAACGCTGGACACAAATAGACCACATAGCAATAAGCTATCGTTGGCGTGGGTCGGTAGGAGATTGTCGCTCCTTCTGGAACACGTGCGTAGATACCGACCATGCACTGGTCCGCGCTCGGGTGTGCTTACGACTGAACGGACGTAGGAAACAGCTGGCGGTAAAACCATCACGTCCCCAGCTCGATCAGGAAACTAAATCCGTATTTCAGGAAGAACTAGCTAAACACATATCTGTGTTCGACAGCTGTGCTCACCCTGAAGAAGCTTGGAAAAATATCCAGGCAGCCATAGATACAGCTGTAAAAGCTGTGAATAAGGTAAACCCAAAGGTGAGTAAAAACCACTGGATCTCCACCGCCTCATCCGAACTGATAGATGCTAGAAGACTTATTCCGGCGAGCTCCGAATTCAATGAGGAGCGAAAGCTGCACAAGAGGAAACTTACGAAAAGTCTCCGCAAGGACCGTAACAGTGGTGGGCGACAAAAGCCAAAGAGATGGAGAAAGCTTTGAGGATAGGCAACACCAGGCAACTCTTTGGACTCATCAGGGAAACGGGTGGGAGAAGACAAATCATTAGTGAGACAATCTCGGAAAAAAATGGCACTATAATTAGCTCCCAGGATAGACGACTGGATCGTTGGAAAGAGCATTATGAGGAGCAGTTTAATTTGCCCACAGCCACGCTCAACCTTCCGAGCATCCAACACCTCCCTGAATGGGATATAGATACAGGTCCTCCGTCACTAACTGAGGTTACTAAAGCTGTCACCAATCTGAAACTAGGCAAAGCAGCGGGACCTGATGGAATGACGCCAGAGGTATTTAAGTACGGTGGAGACAGCTTACTGTCCGGATTAACTGAGGTACTAGGCAGCGTTTGGGAATCAGAAGAAGTCCCATCGGGTTGGTGTAAGTCACTGATTATCCCCATATACAAGAAGGGAGACAAGTCTTCCTGTGATAATCACAGAGGGATTAGCTTGACTAATATAGTATCTAAAGTCTTAGGCTCAATAATCATGCGTAGACTGAGTGGTGCTCGGGAAGCACAAACACGAGAGAGCCAGGCAGGCTTTAGACCAGGAAGAGGGTGTATTGATCATATCTTCACCCTCCGACAGATTCTAGAACATAGGCATTCCTACCGGCGTCCAACAGTCATTATATTTCTTGACCTAAAGGCAGCATTCGACTCTGTCGATCGGGAAGTTCTCTGGAGATGCTTGGCTGTAAAGGGAATTCCAAGAAAATATATTGCACTGATTAAGGCACTCTACTCGTACTCATACAGCCAGGTGAGGGCTTACGGCGAGCTGTCATCTGAACTGATGACGACCAGTGGTGTCCGTCAAGGATGCCCATTATCTCCTTTTCTATTCAACTTCATCATAGATGTGTTAATGGACTTAACCCTAGGTGACTTCAGCGACTCAGGGATTGACTTGCTACCGGGGAATAATCTCGTTGACTTGGAATATGCAGACGATATAGTCCTTCTAGGCGAAGACGCTGACGAAATGCAGAGTCTTCTAAACACCTTGAGCCGCAATCTACGAATGTTTGGCATGCGATTCGCTCCCGCCAAATGCAAGATGATGTTACAGGACTGGACTACATCGACGCCTAGTTTAAAAATAGGAAGTGAAGTGGTAGAGCACGTTGACCGCTTCACTTATTTGGGAAGTACCATCAGCCCCAACGGGCTGATCTCTGACGAAATCTCAGCACGAATACAAGGGGCTCGTTTCGCATTTGTTAGTTTACGCCGACTCTGGCGTAGACGAGATGTTCGACTATCGACCAAAGGGCGGGTGTACTGCTCATCAGTCCGCTCCGTCCTCCTTTATGGTTGTGAGACCTGGCCACTGAGAGTGGAAGACATGAAAAGACTAGCTGTCTTTGATCATAGGTGCCTGCGTTCTATTTCCCGTGTAAAGTGGCATAATAAGGTGAGCAACATGGAGGTTAGGCGTAGAGTTCTAGGTAAACAGGGGAAATCAATCGACGAAGTCGTGAAGCTACAAAGACTGAGATGGTTAGGACATGTGTTACGTATGCCAAGCCATCGCCTCCCTCGACGAGCAATGTTAGCGGATATAGGGTCAGGCTGGAAAAAAGCTAGCGGCGGTCAAACAAAAACTTGGCATCAGTCAATGAAATCCACAACAGTTGGTCTAAGCCACGTAGGAAGGTGTAGACTTCCAGGCTGGGGTCCTCGGGACGGTAAAAATCTATGGTTGGAAACAATTGGTGACATGGCTCAAAATCGTTCTCAGTGGCGCAGATGCATCCACTCCCTGTGACTTATGATCTTCAATGAAACTGTTTTGTATTTCTTTATTACTCCTTTGTCTCACACCTCTGCTCACTGTTTCTATTATGCTTTTCTTGTACTTTCTTCTCTTGCTTCGCGTGCTACACGGAATGTGGCGACTTGAACTTCCGCACATTTGTGCAAAGTTCTATGTCGAAAACAGACAGACAGACAGCTACTGGGACACGATTCAATGGCTCATGAATTCTAACTTCTACCAATTCGTGATTTAGCGCGAGCCATTGAATCAAGTCCCAGTGGCTGAATGGTTTGCGAGCTTGCCTTGTAACCGGAAGGTCCTGGGTTCGAATCCCAGTGGGTGCGTACTGCTTATGATTCTCAAACTGGGATGAAACAGCAGCTGTCCAGTACTCCCTGGTTTTCAATGGTTCTCTAACTGATATCAATCCGTGATCAACTCGTAAAAACTGATGATATTACTTTTCTGCCTAAACCTAGAATATACGTGGAGAGATGTTGAAAGTCGATCGCCTCATTAAACAGCTACAGCCCTAAGAGTCTCATACTGAGCATCTTATAAATAATTGAAGAACAATACACACAACACAGTCAAATAGCTACTCACTCTTTTTTGTAAGCAAAACACATCTCCAAATCCATATTCTCGTAAAAAGTGTTGCTGAGCAGATAAAAGGCAACGTACAGTCAATAAACCACGACCACTTGGATTAGCTCTCAATTCACGTAAGAATCGTTTATATCGTTCTGCAAATTGAAATGATCGATCTCCAGCATCTGATAACATATCAGACTGACTTTCTTCAGATTTAGCTCTATGATATTCTATACAATTCTAAAAGTTACAGAAAAAAATTTTATGTACTGAACGAAATGCCTATCAAATACTAGAAATAATTATTTGGTAAAGTGATGTGCAAATAGCATAAAGTTAAGATGTGAGGTCGTAGTTCGTCAATTTAATGTTTTAATTTTCCATCAATAGACTTGGACAAAGCAAGAATGTTACATTGAGTGGAAATATGACAGTAATCAATGGATTCAAAGTGGACATTTCAGCTTCTCAAAAAATATACACGCATTGATTAATCTAACCACCATTATATCTGGACTGCTCATTATATATATTTTAACCTCGAGAATTTGTCTCAGTCTTTTCTACGATTGGATCCAACATGCTCATGATTAGAGAGTTTTATAAATAGAAGCTTACATTATGTTACTGAACAAGCTGAGAAATGGATACGGTATACCGGCGGATTGAATGACAATTGAATTACAACAATCTATAGCATATTTTTTAAATGCACTACGTGAGATTTACATCAGTTTTATTCTTAAAGATACTGATCACTTTGTTAGAAACTAAGATAAGCCACTTTTCAATTCTTACGCCGCAGATTTCTTTGTTTTTCGTGTCAACATGGTAAAGAACTCTGGTAAGATTCAAATATCCTTCTTCTTCCAATTCGTATAAATAACAAAGTACAGCAATATGATGGTCAGAAATAGCATGTATATGAGGCAAATTTTATTCAAACACAACCAAATCTGAACTTTAATATAAACGTAATCCAAAGCTTTATAATTTCTTGCACTTGTCGTGGTCTAGACAAGCGTGACTTACTTTACACACGCTAACATATCGCTTATATTGACACTACATTTTAACTGGAGTAAAATGAAGCTGCGAATATAACATGAAGGCTAAAGAAATATGGTACTAATCGATGCAGTTGTTAACTACTGGCAGGAAGCAAGTACGAAGAAGTGCGTCAGTGGCACAGTGGTCGAATGCTCGCCAACCACCCATATGGTCCGTGGTTTGTTCCCCGGCGACCGACTTACTTCTAAACTTCGATAAGCCAGTAATAAGACTGGTGAAGAGGGAAGGTTGGATATCAGGCTAGCAAACCCATCCCGTGAAAAAAATAAACACCACTGCTACGAAAACTTCAAGCCTGTATCTTGAAGCCCTATGTTCCACTGGGAACGCAAAGGAATAAAAAAAAGTACGAAGAAGCAAGCTTCATAGTTGATACCCATCGCACAACAAGAAGTGATGATAGGAATCTTCGGGTAGTATGTCACAAATTCTACATTAACGGTGCATAATCACTTATATCTTGAGAATAATACATGAGTACACTCACTTTGAATTTGTGTTGCTTTTTTCACAACCTCTTATATATTCATTTCCTTTTCCTTGTGTAAAATAAGTATTCCAGATAGCTGTGCAATTGCTTTTGCTTATTTGCTATCTTTATTTATCCATGAAAATAAATGATATACATAAAAAGCTAATTTATTTAGTTTTTTAAAGATGGCGTTGCATGTGCTACTGACAAGATTTGTCAGCAGCATTTAAAGAAACGTTCACTGGCATAAAAACATAAAATAGACGAGAGACAGATTTGACGTCAAAGAGAGCAAGTGAACCAGTGTTGCGGCAACACATAGGATATACGAAAAGAAGACAAAGAAACAGAATACGAAGGGCAGAAGTAGCACAACACAGAAGATCTGTGCAAATGACAATGTCCACATAAGATGTATATAATTTCGCTACATAGAGATATCAAATTCCAAATATGCATTCCGTTACGGTTCCAACAGGTACCACTAAGTCAAGGCCCCTTACATCCCAATACTAAGTAGAACACCAAAATAGGATGCCTCCACAAAAGAAGGCTAGCTTCACCTAGACTGAAAATACCCTGTCAACCTTTTAATACCTATTTTAATAGTACTTACCTCAAAGCAGTTTAACCAATATATCCTGGCTTCTTTGTCATGCGTTAGGTCCCAAGTATCAGGTGTATAATTAACAGGTGATTCGAGTAAATGAAACATCTCCAAAGAGTGTGTGAATACGCGATCTAGTTCAAAGTTGTGTAGTTTTATTTTCTCATGTTTCAGTGGTGAATGTTTAGCTGCATCTTTCATAGATGTTGTAACATTGTCCACTTCGTCGAGAACATCAGAAGATACATTTTCTGGAAACTTCTCAACTTCATTTTCTACACCTACATTGTCTACAGCACATGAAGAGCTCTTTAAAACAACCGTTTCTTTACTCTGATCGATTTCATTTGCTTTTGTGCAGGATGAAATATCAGAGAGGGATGAATTACTAGAGCTTACTACATAATTCTCTGACCACAATGTTTTCCGTTCAGATGGATTATTATCCTCAAAACTTTTCAAATATGCACCAATTGCTCCTAGATACCCTTCATGACGTAAAAACAAAGCTTTATACTCTCCGCCTGACCAAAACCGAACAGCATAGGTGATGACCTAAATTAAGCAACAAAAAGAAAATATGAATGAAGGAAATCGTATAACCTGAAACTCATTACCAAATTATCAGTTAGTAGTATCAATATATGTTGCGAAAACTTAACACATTTTCAGGTGTTTCTTTTTAGGCATATTGTAGTCTATTTTCAAAAGTGAACAAACGCGAATTAATACAGAAGGATATATGATTTTGCTAAAATATACAGAGACACTTATCTCGGAAATACAAAAATAGTAATCAAAAACAAAATACACCAGTCAGTCACAAATTACTAGTTTACTGAAAATCAACCAAATCAAAGTCCAAAATAATTGACTAAATACACTATGCATATTCGCAGTCTCATATAACACTTACATAACAGGGTTAAATACATTCCTAAAAGCGAACACAATGTCTCTGTGGTGTTTTAATCATCATACCTATTTCGTCTGTTAAACAAACAGCGTAAATATTTTTGAAATGATAATGTTGACCAGTGTTATGAATAAAGCAGCAAATAAAAAAGAACTATTTTTCATCGCTACTTTTTCATGTGCAGCAAACAAAACTGAATTGCACACAGCTTTGATCAGAAGTCAGTCATGTGACTTAAAATATGGAAACAGGTTTATAAGGGAGGAAAACTTTAGCAACTTCCTTCAAAATAACAAATTATTCAGAATTTGAACCGGGAGTCATTTTCATTGTGACATGCAATGTTTATCAAACAGTATAGATAAATACTGAACCAGAAACAAGAATGTGAGTTAGATCTTCGTGAAAAAAATTGCTTACCTCCATTGTAAGCCCGTGTCCGCGTATGAAATACCCACCGAAAATAATTCGTTTAAGGTTATACTGTTTGGCGTATAGACAAGCCAGTTGACCTATATTACTATAAAGTAGTAGTTGTAACGAAACAAGATTAGCTCAGTGATACGACAAAAACTAACACTATTAAAATATTCTTCGGAAACAATAAAATTAGATGTATTGGAGAAGATTTGTAGCTCTACACCAAAAACAAGATAATAGCTGTGGAAGACTGTTTATCGACAGTCTATTTCTTAGAACTAGTTTATTACTGCATAAAGATGGTCGGCAGAGTTCATGTCACATAATCAGCATTGTTATTATTTCAACAACTAAAATTAAATCCAATCGCTGGATAGTCAACCATTCCAAATATGATGCCTGAACCAATCTACTTATACTTTATATTAGATGCAGATATACAGTCGAATAACTGATATATTTAGACCTGTTTTGACTGATTCTTTGTACAACAGGAACAGTGAGTAATACTGGTAGGTGGTTTAGAGTTCGAAAGTACCCACATTTAAAAAATTAAGTGACACATGGAAATCCAAGTCCACTGAGCTTTATATTTGACGTATCCTGAGAGTGTTCTTTACAACTCTATTGAAACTAGACTTAAAGGGATGCTATAAGAAGTATAAAATAAGGTGTTGTTTAGGAAATGAATGCTAGATAAATAACCAGCAGATAAGTGATGAAAAATTATTCATTCTTACTTACTTGCTAACTGTAATAAGTAAAGATTTCACCATGTCAGCCAATTCACGGGGTTGATTAGGATGACGAGCTGCTAAACCAAATGAACTTGCTATCACATCTCCAGAGAGTCCAAGAGTCTCATATGCACCTCCGTATATGTCACGTACTAACATATCAACCTGACGGTGATCCCCAGAATCTGCCATTTCCAGAAGTTCGTCAAAAGTAAACTTTCCTACAGAGTTAAAACAATGCCACATTACTATTAAAAATGTCATTAAAATAATAATTATATCTTCACTGTGAAGTCATACAAAGTAAACGGTTAAGTAATGAGTTTTCCTCCGAAAGAAAAACAGTTAAATACTTGGACAAAATTTTGATTCGATGTACATAACAATTCAAAATTCTCACTAAGTTCAAAATGGCAAAAACTGAAACCCTATAATATTGCTGTGGATATTTTTCAAATACAACCAATACTATTCAATCCAGTGATGCTCCTTGCTCTTGTGCTTTGGAATATTCTAAGGGAAAGCATATATACCCCAAAACGGTTTCATATACCTTTTTGACTAATCTTTAATCACATACTTCAAACATATTAGGCATTATTAATTAAATAAGACAAAAACAAGGAAATCACTTCAGCTACATCAAGTGAACTTAAAAGTCGCAATATGCATAAAACTTTCCTAGCAAGTGGACAGTGTCACTTGTTACTCATATAATAAATTTATCAGACGATAATTGTAACTCTTCCATTCTTTGATAATCTAGAACCAAGCCACTAAGTGATTTAAGTTTCTCTAATAACGTGATGTTTGAATACTTCATCTACTGACTGAGACTCTAAAAGAAGTAGTAAAATATGGACGCATGGTTCTTTTCTATTTCTAGACTGTCATAAAATCGTTGATCAAACGGTTAATACTGTTTCTTAGTTCAGCGTCATATCTGCTTCTCCGAAAGAAAATAAAATTACTGGGTGTATCTCACTTGGTAAAATTTAATTAAAATATCCAAAAAAAACTAAAACTGGTTGGATAAATCCAGATGATGTCCATAAACATTTGCAAAATCAGATGAAACTGAGCGAAATCATTTAATACGTAATTTGATTTTCCTACTAAGGAGAAAACTTTAGCCAGTACAATAGATATTATGGAGGAACAGGATTAAACTTTAATCTGTTCTACTGAAAAATCGATCCAGGAAAGATTACAGTTGGTTAGTCAAAGAACTACTGGCTTTTAGGGAAATGATGAGTTATGCTTTACAAAATAATATTAGTTGGCCCAAAAACCTTACCTCCTGACAATAGTGTTCCTAGACCCCAAAATGTTCCACCACCAATAGAAGTCCCACCGACTCTTTGATAAGAAGTGGGACTTTCAACTTTTAAGATGCTAACACCAGATCCGACATTGACCAAAAGAAAAGGAAATGTACTCACTAAACCATTTGAAACAAAGACGTGTGCTGGAGTGGCATGTTTGTCATAATAAAATAATTCGTCTGGAATATTTCTAAGTAAAAACACACATCCCCTTATAAGACATTCCATTTCGTCTTCCTTATCCAGTTCGATCCCCAGTTTGGAGCAAATTAGATCACGGTAACGAAAAGCACCCCCACCAGTGACCTTAATTTTGTTAGTTGTCCCCTTGGGAAGTGCACCTTGCTGAATAATGTTAACATTAATAAAATCAAGGCAGTCTTCGATATTTCTGGTCTCAAATTTCATAAAACACAATTTTTGTCCTTCATCTTCACGTTCCTTATATTCGTAAAAGTCGAAAGGCAATTCATTCTCACTGACACTTTTGCGGGGTTGTTGGGGTATAGAACGTCTATAGCGAAATACGCGTTTATACACCAATTTTGCAAGTGATCCTCCAATGTCCAGAGCAAAGATATTTACACGGCATTTTTGGTCAAACGACGGATCGGAAACCTGAGAAATATCAACTGCCGAAGCATAGGACATAACAAGTGCATTAAGCGGATGAATCTGCAAATGAAAGATAAAAAGCCGAGAATCATATTTTAAGAGTTTCGCTCATGAATAGAGGTTTATTTTTCTGGATTTTGCATCAAAAGCAAACAGGCAGCAATTTCTGAAACATGTGAACTACACGTACCTACCTGTCTAACTACTCGGTCAATACCACTCATTACTAACTCGAAAAAAAATTTCATTCGGTCAATAATCAGCAAATTAAAAACCGCAAAACATTTTAAGCCATTCACTTAGATAAAATTTACGGTGAAATATTTCACGATAGTCAAATTAAGCAACGCAGGATATCATGTTGATAATCCGAATGATATATTCCAAAATTTTAAATGCAAAACTAACTATCATCTAACACCTTCTGGGAGATTAACGTAGGATTAAACTAAATTCTCAGAATAGACGGGGAAATTATAAACGGATAATTAATGTTAGTTAATCCAATTAGCCCGAAAATAGATAATGAACAACAAGGTAAGGGAAAACTCAACTTTGACGATCGTCACAGAAGATCACGGAGAAACGCAGTTTGATCTCAAAATGCATACTATACAACACATAATGAATGTGACGCAAAGTCAAATTTTTATTATGGATGATGTTCGAAATTCCATGATGGTATATGTATTCAAAAGCATTTTAATTCGACACAGCGAAGAAAATTTACCCAAGCTAACAATAATTCTAAACTAATTCTAACCTATACGTTGGTAATGCCTTTTCATGGTAAATGAATATTCTATCTACTTAAAATAGACCCACTATGTACTTAAATAACTCTAGTCATTCTGAGAAAAGCACCGGACACTTAATTATTGCGACGAAACCATAAAAATATGATATGCAGCTGAAATAAATCGTTTAGTGCTGAGATGAAGGTGAAAAGATTGCTACTGTGCGGTGAACGAAGCATTTTTCTTCTGAAGTAATGCCATTCAGTGATGAATATGAACCGAGAGGGCTGGAACAACACTGATTAGAAACTCAGTAGGATCTGAGTAACTTCTGAAAATGCTTAGAAAGAGAACACGGTGCTGAATTAGTGCCAGTCATGCCAAAGAACATCACTGAGTTCCAGTCTGTGCACTTAAACAAATCATTTCTGAACAGGTTCAGAATTTACTTACTGTAGAATGTTAGAGTTCATATATTCGCGGGATTTAATTCACCATTATAGAAAGCATACGGTGAAGAAAACTTCACTAGCGTGAATGAAACTAGTTGGTAAGCGACATTCTGAACGTGTTTATGTTAAAGAAAATTTTTAGTTATTTGTGACAACTGCAACGACTTCATTAGTTTCAAACGTACTAAGGCATTACTTACTGCAATTCAGTAAGTACAGAAAATAAAATTTTACTCCATAAAATAGCAAAAATAATTCTAAAGCTATAAAAATCTATCAAACTATATGATTACCTATGAAGTAATCACTGAATTACCAGTGGCACTACGAAAATACGGAGACCGTAACACTTCTGTCAAATATTCGCGCAAATTCAGTATATCCAATATTGGAAAAACAACATTGAACACAGTGACATTTTTACACAGGCTAACATATCTTGACAAATTAAGTGTAACCACTAATGATGAGCTTTGTCAGTGCATTTCATAATTCATAAACAGAGTATATTGATGCGCAAGTATGAATTTCGCACTAATACAATGGTACCATAAACAAAAAGGTTAATCATTTTCTAGTAAATTTCTGTGGTTCTCCAATCAGCTGAGGTTGCAGAGACCACTTCTTCTGGGAGTCGGTTCCAAGAGTTTATGACTTGATGTGAGAACCAGTACTCAAGAGCAATATGATTCCTCCTTGGCTTTTGAACTCTCCTGCTATGTCCTCTAAGATATTCCGACCTGATGGCAAGAAAAAGAGAGAACAGGTCAGGTCCGTACTCATTATTTAAAGTTTTAAACATTGTGATTAAATCTCCTCTCTGCCTACAGTATGACAGTGAGGAGAGATTTAAACTGTCTAGTCTTTCCTCGTATGATAATTTAGTCATGTCATGAACTATACGTGTTGCCTTCCTTTGAACCATTTCTAGAATGTATGAGTTGCCTTTAAGACAAGGACTGGCCACCTGAATACAGTTTTCCAGTCTTGACCTCACCAGAGATGTATATACGGAGGTGAAAATATATCTGGTGGTTCTAGTAAAGGCTCTGCGAATTGCCCATAACGACCTGAAACTACGTGCAGCCACCGCGACACAGTGTGCTGTAGTTTTGGAATCGTGGCTAAATTTGACACCTAATTCCAAGTGAGTCTGAACTCATAGAAGTGTTATTCCCTCTAGTTCGTAGGAGCTCATTGAACATTTTGTTACACTGATCGGGAGCATTCATTCTCTGGACCACTCTGACAATTTGTTGAGGTCATCTTGCAACGTGGACGTATCACTGTTGCCATTCAGCCCTCTCCAAGTGTTTAAGCCATCAGCGTATAGGACCATAGGGCAGTCGGTAAGCAGAGATAACTCACTAATATAAAAAACAAATAGGAGAGGTCCGAGTACCGTGCCTTGTGGCACTCCGCTACGTACTGCTGTCCAAGAGGAGAGTTTCGAGTTGATTCTAGCCATCTGCCTCCTATCTGTGAGAAATTCTCTGAGCCAACTCAGTAATCTACCTTTGATATCAAGACTTACCAACTTCATGAGTAATCTTTCGTGAGGAACTTTATCGAGGGCTTTGCTGAGGTCTATGAAGATGACATCAACGGGTCTTCTGTTGCTCTTTCGTTTGACCCAGCTTTCTCTTGCGGTGAGGAGATTCGACAGACATCAGAGGCTTATTCGGAATCCGTGCTGTGTTCTGGATAAAATTTTGTTGTTTACCAGATATTATTATTATTATTATTGTATCCTTTAGTTCCTAGAGGAACATAGGGCTTCAGCTGCGCACCTCCATTGACTTCGGTTTTCTGACAACTTTTTCACCCTGCTCCAGGTCTGCCCACATGCTTTCATCTCCTCCTCGCATGACCTCCTCCAAGTCACCCTTGGACGACCAACTCGCCGCCTCCCTTTCGGGTTCCACTCGAGGGCTTGTCTAGTGATGTCACTTGATGGTTTCCTCAGCGTATGGCCAATCCATCTCCATTTCTTTCTGCCTATTTGTTTCACAATCGGTTCCTGATTGGTTCGCTCCCAGAGATCCCTGTTGCTGATCTTTTCTGGCCATCTGATCTTGAGTATTGAGCGGAGACAGTTGTTAATGAAGGTTTGAAGTTTGTTTGAGATGCTCTTTATGACTCGCCAAGTCTCTGATCCGTATAGTAGCACTGACTTCACATTGGAGTTGAAAATCCGGATCTTATTTTTGATGCTGATTGCTGTTGACCTCCACACAGATTTGAGAGTAATGAAAGCTTGTCTTGCTTTTCCGATTCTGGCTTTGATGTCCTCGTCAGTTCCGCCTGTAGTTGAGACGATGCTTCCCAGGTAGGTGAAGGAGGTTGTTTCTTTCAGGTTCTTCCCATTTATGCTTATTGTGGTCTGTTGTTGTTGTTGATGTTGGCTAGGAATCTTCATCATCTCTGTTTTATCTATGTTCACGTGAAGTCCTATCTTTGATGCTTCTTCTGCCAACTTGTTACTTTTCACTTGCATATCTTCCAGTTTATGGGAAATCAGACATATATCATCGGCGAAATCCAGATCCTCCAAGTCTTTTGTGTCAGTCCATTTTATGCCTGTTCCCTCGTTGGTTGCCGTTGTCTGTCGCATTATCCAATCAATTGCAATCAGGAAGATCATTGGTGATAGTAGACAGCCTTGCCTCACTCCCGTCCTCACTTCGAAGGCTTCCGTAAGTTTCCCGTTGTGGATTACTTGGCATGCAGCATTGTCGTATAACTGTTGGATGAGGTGTATAATTGTCGATGGGACCCCGTAGTAGCGAAGTAGTTTCCAAATGACCTCTCGATCGACGCTGTCGAAGGCCTTTTCAAAGTCGATGAAGTTGAGATAGAGAGGTGACTGCCATTCCAAGCTTTGTTCAATGATGATCCGTAGAGTGGCGATTTGATCAATACATGATTTGTTTCTCCTGAATCCAGCCTGTTCCGGACGAAGTTTTTCATCTAGGGCTTGTTTGATTCTCTCCAGGATGATGCGACTTAGTATCTTGCTTGGAATGGACAGAAGCATAATTCCACGCCAGTTTTTACATTGACTTAAGTCTCCTTTCTTTGGAAGTTTGAATAAGTAACTGTTCTTCCAATCCTCGGGTACTTTGCCCTCTTTCCACACCTTCTCCAGTAGTGGTGTCATCAAGTCCGCTGTTGTCTCTGGGTCTATTTTCAAAGCCTCTGCTGGGATTCCATCTGGTCCCGGTGTTTTCCCAGTTTTAAGCATCTTGATTGCATTCAGGACTTCTGATTTCGTCGGGGGGTCAGTGTTCACTGGTAGTTCTGCTTCCGTTGTTGGTATTGCTGGACGTGTTGTAGGTGGCGGACGATTTAGAAGTCTTTTGAAGTGTTCAACCCAGTGCTTTCTCTGTTCCACCTCTTTGGTGATTGACTTTCCATTGTCGTCCTTTATTGGCTTAATCTGTGTCGAACGTTTGCCCGAAAGGTTCCTAGTTGTTTGGTAGAGTGTGGCGAGGTCTCCTTTGCCTGCAGCTTGTTCTGCTTCGTTTGCCATGGTTTCATAATATTTTCTTTTGTCTTCCCTGGCACTTTTCTTCACTCTTTTGTTCAGTGTATTGTAGCTTGCATTCAGCTCCTGTTTTTGTTGCTCGTCAGTGCACTGGATAATCTTTTGCTTCACTGTCCTTCTCTCTTCTATTAGTTTCCAAGTGTCCGTAGTGAGCCACTGTTTGTCCTGTCTCTTTTTTCTGCCTAGAATTTCTATGCAGGTTTGGCTCCACACCGTTTTCAAGTTGTTCCAGTGCTTTTCAACGCCGACCTCTTCGCTAGTGTTGATTTGTGTCTCGGCTTTGTCCTTTATGCTTGCAAT